CGTGGCGCGGTGGCGCGGCTCCGGGGCCGCTTCCCCATTCTCCCTACACGGGCGCGAGAGCCATGGAGGCGCTGAGGGAGTCCGTGCTGCATTTGGCCTTGCAGATGTCGACCTACAAGCGGGCCACGCTGGATGAGGAGGACCTGGTGGACTCCCTCTCCGAGGGCGACGCGTATCCAAACGGCCTGCAGGTAAGAACCCTCGACCCCCCGCGAGCCCCCAGGCCGGGCTGAGCTGGGCATGCGCGCCGGTGCCGCCCCCGCCCCCTTCCTGCCAGCCTGGAGGGGGCTGTGCCTGCCCAGCCGGGGAAGAAGCCTCCCTGGGGCAGAAGCGACCCAGAGATGCGCTTGCCCCACCGCTTCCCCTCACTGGCTCTGCCTGTTCCTGCATCCTCTGGCCACCTGCTCTTGGGCCCGGAACTCTGCTGACAAGAGTTGAAGCTCCTGGTAGATTGGAACTTTTGAGCCGTGGGAGAGGCTGGTCCCTGAGGGCTGAGGGACTTGCCCAGGTCACAGAACCCGTTGCTGCTGAAGTCGAAACTGCCTGCATTTTTGACATGGAAAGAAATCCTATGTCCCAGGCACCCCCTCGGCCCTGGGCAAACCCAATGGGTTGGTTGCCGTGTCTGGTAGACTTCACCCCATTCTTCCTCTTTCCCCCGATTCCTGAACTTCTTGGAGGAGGAACCCATCCTGGGCCCCTCTCCCTGCTCCTACCAGGAGCCTACCAGGCTCCTACCAGGAAACTTAATTCCTCCCCTCCCAAGTGTACCCCAAAAAACTGTGATAACACCCACCCCCGGCCTGGGGGCAAGCAGGGAGTTTGGCTGCTTTCTGCTCTCTCCCACAGGGCTGAACTGGGAGTGTCCCTAAGGAGGACCTCAGCCCTGTTGGATTGTGGGGCCAGGCGGGTGAGCCGCAGAGAATGGAGAGTGTCCAGGACACCCACTGTGTCCTGAGAAGCCCTCATCGAGAGGAGCCTGGTGCCTCAGTGCAGGAGGATTCTACCAGGTGGATCACAAGAAGCAGTGTGTGTGTGTGTGTGTGTGTGTGTGTGTGTGTGTGTGTGTGTGGTGGGGATCAAATGATCCCCAGTCACAGCTCCTCCAGAGGGCAAGCTTAATTACCCTAAACTTTTAGGGTGGGCTTAGTTGGCATAAGTGGGAACTCAGGCCGCCAGGCCAGCCCAACTCAGGCACCTCTTGCAGGCTGCAGTAAGGCAAATTAAGGGAAATGGCATTGGTGGGGTCCCTCCCCCACACTAAATAGGCCCTGGGAGATCCGAACTCTTGACTCCCAGTGCTCACCACCCCCACCCCATCCCTGGCTAGAGGTCTTCTCCTGAAACTTCAGGACCATCCCTCCTAGCTGAAGGGACTGCTGCGCCCACTTAGAGATGAGGACACTGAGGCTCGGAAAGGGGTGACAGCTTGCCCGGCATCACAGTGCTGGAAATCCAGACCCAGTCTGTACAGACCACTTCCTCGTGGCCCCTTCATCAGAGGCTAAATCCAGGTGGAAATTAGATGTCGGTAGCGGGCTCTTTTCCCCTTCACTAATCAAAACAGAATCTAATCAGCAATCTTTTCCAGTCTCATCTTCCATGGAAGGTTCTAAATATATCAGCACAAAAGCATTTAGGAATTCACAACAAAGTAGCAGGTGTGCTCTTGCTGTCCTCATCTCCGCAGTCCTCCAGTGGGTTTTCCTGTCTGCCCCGGGCTCCCGAGCCCCTGAAGCTGGGACCCAGGTTTGATTCTGGCACCCACCGTGACCTGGGATGTGTCTGCTTAATCTCTGTAAACCACAATTTCCTCATCTGTAAAATGGGGCTTAGAGAAAGTGGATGTAACGCACCTTGAAGAGCCGGCTGGGACTGTTGTTTTCATGACCTATGAATAAGTGCCCTGTCGCCAGGTTACAGGCCACGCAGCTGAGTCTCGGGCGGCTAGGGACATTCCTGTGGTCACTCCGCCAGTCACCTGGGTTGGAGTGCTGCGCGGGTGTCCCTGCGGCACACGGCCAGACTGGGTGCGGTGACCACTTTCCATGCAGGACGAGCCAAAGGGGTTGGCCCAGAGATTTAGGGTATTTCTGTGGATTTGCCTTGAACCCCCACAGTCTCCCTAAAGCAAATGCGAACTTGTTCTCCAAGTCAGGAACCTGTTCACCTCCAGTGGGATCTTTTTTCCAGTATAAAAGCGCGATATACTTGTTTTCTTTTAAATGTCACATTTTAAAAACCGGGTATTCCCCACTCGGAGGTGAACACTGCTGGTTTAGCACGCTTGTATGTGTTTTGAAATATAGCTGAGCTCACGCCACACCAAGTTGGGTCCTTTTTCACTTACTGCCAATCCGTGACCAGAATTTTTCTATGTTGTTGAAAACTCCCCAACAATGCTGTCGTTAAAAACAGAAACACCTCCTGGCACCAGTATATAAAAAGATTTATTTTGTTGAAGTTGGACAGAAGGGCCAGGAATGCTGATACCCTCATATTCTGAGCTTTCCAGAACTTCTGTGAGCTGGTTGCTAGAAACAAAACCTCTCCTTAAGTTTAGACTTTTTGAGATGGACCCTGTCCCCCCATCCCCACCGTCTTCTTCTCTTGACAGGCAGCTATAAACATAAGCTGTTAGAAGCCCACTAGTTCCAGAGGTATCAATACCAAGCCTAATACATGAAGCTCCCATCTTTCACTTTAACTGGTCACCTTCATTGCTGATGGCATTAACTCAGCCAGAGTAAAGTTCTACCTGTGCCTTACCTGAAAGAGTTTTTCTTTTCCTTTACCTAGTATTTTAGGCTCCAGTAAATTGCAGTCCATCAGAATGAGTCACTGCAGATGGCGGGAAGAACTGAAAGCCAAATAGCCCTAGTAACCCAGAGCCCAGCTTCACCTGTCATGGGTGTGAGACCTGAAGCAAGTCACTTAATCAGCTTTGCTTTCTTTTTTTTTATTGCAAAATGGGGTTACTGTTATTAACTTACCTCTCAAAGCTGTTGCAAAGCATCAGTTGAGACGATGTAAGTGACAGCATTTTTATAGAGTGCAGAGAACATGAACTTGGTTATTGGGATTATGATGGAAACTCCCCAGGTGTGATAGCTCAGTGATGCCTTCAGCTTCATAGTGCCCCCCCACCCCTGCAAGCCTCTGCCCTGCTCAGCTGGCTCCCCAACCTTCAACACACACCACTTCAGGGGCCCAAAGGGAAATATCTCAAGTTAGACCTGCAGCCCAAACTGGGAAGGAGGCAGCCCACCACTTACACAGACCTTTGCAGCTTACCCAGTTGCTTCTGAACATCAATTTCTTAAATAAAAAGGAAAGCAGGGTTTTTCCATGCACAGAGCTGTCTTTCGAGGGCAATTTTGGGGACATCCCCTTAAGTACTTTGAGAACTTTGCTAATCAAGAGGTACTTTCAACCCCTCCACCTGTCAGGGTCCTGTGCTCTTGGTGAGCAAGTTATTCCTCGAATCTGAGATGTTCAGACTTGGGCCTAATCCAGCTTCCTCATTTTAAAGATAGAAGCCTGAGGCCCAAAGGCTGCCCAGTAACACGGCTGGGCCTTAAGGTCAGGACCAGCCTTCGACTTAGCAGGTTTGTGCCCTTCCTTCTTGCAATTTGGAGCTGGGTGTGCTGCTTCTAAATAACAGAAGCTGGTTCCTATTACGATGTAAGGGAAGGGGCCCTCTTCCCCCAACAGGTATTATTTTAGATCACTGGAACAGATTTGGGTGTGGGGGATGGGGATGGAGCCTCGCACATGGGCAAGAGTCCAGGACGACAAGGGGCCATTATAATTCTTCTCTGGGCTGGTCCCGTGGCCTTGGTCGGAAGTCTATCATATAGAAACTTCACTGAAGAAACTTCCCCAACTAACACCCTCCCAGAGGCAGGGGACCACGCGGCACCAGGGTGTCCCGCTGTGCTGAGCTGTCCCGATCTGTCTGCTCTGAAAGGCTGACTGGGAGGCAGGCGGCCTGGTCACCCTGCCAACCCTCACGGGTGGCCCAGGTGGCCAAATCGTGGGCTGGAGGGCTGGGCTCCCTGCCAAACCTTGGCCTGTTTGGTGCTCCCGAAGCCCAGATCGTGGGGGGATGTGGCGCAGGAAAAGTGTCTGTCTTCCCTCCTGGCCCCCCAACCCCCTGCTTCCTCTGAAAGCTGGCTCCCCACCCTCCCCTCCGGGCTCACCACCTGGGCCCCAGGCAGCACTGCCATCCTCCACCTCGCCTGCAGAACTGGTTCTTGCTGTAAGCCCAGGTGAGCCAAGACTCACTTCTGTAACCTAATATTTATCCCTCATCAGGGCTTTGTTCCCTGGCTGCAGAAACCCTGGGAATTCCTGCCAGGCTGGCTGCTGCCGAGCGCTCCTGCTGCTGCTCTGGTTCGTCTGCTTCTTCCCTCTCTGCCTCCCTCTCTGCCTCTCTTTCGAGGGCGTCCTTGTCTGTCTCATTCTCGCTAGGCCTCGCACAGCAGCGCATAGGCTAGCTGAGCCTTGCAGTAGCCCTGCTCTGCCTCCGGAGCGTCAGCCCTGCTCCCTGGCTGGCGGCCACCTCAGTTCCCTCTCCCGAGGCCCGTTGGGTTGCCTGCCCCTAATCCTACCACCCCAGTTGCTGCAGATGTCTCGTGATCCACCTGCCATCATTTCCAAAAGCAACATGAGGGGCCCCTCTCCCCTCTCCTTCACTGTGACTCCTGTCACTGGAACCTCTCTGTGACCCCGGGCAGGCGGGATGATGGCGCTCAGACAGGAGAAGGGACTGGCAGCCCCACCCTATCCGTGGCACCAGGGTGGCTCAGCCTTTCCAGGAGAGACCTCTTGATCTGGTTCGGTGCCTCCAGGGGTCTCCTCCCAACAGGGGGATGTTGGGAGGGGGATGCACCCCTCCACCCTGTGAGACCAGGCTTGACCAGACACCTTCGGGGGACTGGGTTGGACAGAACAAGCCCACAGCACTTACACAGGTGAGAAGCCCCATTTCCAGATTCCATTTGCCACTTCTGCCTGGAACTAGGAGTTTTGCTTTAATCCTGACTTAATTCTAATTAAACTTGGCAGTGACCGCCATCTGTTTGCTCAGCCTCCAATGCTGAGGCTCAACTGTACCTTCTGCTCTTCGCAGTCAGCCGGGTCTCACTGGGCCAAGGCTTGCAGGTTCGAGAGAAAAGGCTTCTCTCTCCGCTCTCCCTCTCTGTCTCCCCCAACCCATGTCTTCTCGAGCTGATGCTGCCCCTGCTCCAGGTGTGGTGACGACAGGATGGCACATCACCCAGCACCAACAGAACAGACACGGTGCCAGCACGGGGACGCACCCCCGTCTTTCCTGCCGTCTTTCCTGTTTCCCTCCCTCGCTGGCCTTTCGTTTCTTCTCTCCCTTCCACCTCCCAGACCCCACACGGCGGGGCTGCTCTGTCCACCTGCTTCACCTGTCCGCTTGCTTCCGCTCGGGGCTCCCTGAGCCAGCGCTAGGCAGAGGGGGTGCTCTAAAGCCGAGGTCCTCCTGCCTCTGCCTTTCACCCTCTCCTTCAAGAGCTGAGCCTTGGCAGTGGGAGGAGAGACCCAAATGGGAGGAAGGGGAGTGGGAGGGAGGCAGGCCCAGAACAGCAGAGCAGAGTGAGAAGCCATGCCAGCGCCTTCGACATGGCAGTGCCCGCTTCAGATCCTTTGGGATCCCTCCGAGTACCAGCCCCAGGGCGAACTGCCCGGGACAGTGGACGCCCTAGAAGAGCCCTCGTAAGCGCTAGTGCTGGCCCAGCTGTGGCTCCACGCCACCCACCCACCCCGCCCCAGGGGTCTAACACAGTGGCAGTAGTGCGGCGGCATGCCCACTACTCTCTGAAGCCCGTGGGCCTTCGGGAGCCGGCGCCCCTCCCTCTACCTGCCACGGCTGCTCCCGTGCCTGAGCCTCCTCCACCTCTGCGGAAATGTCACCAGCTTCCAGTTCCCTTTCTCAGTTTTAGAACCTGGTTTTTCTTCCATGAAGAGCTCATGTTCCCCTTTCTCTGGTGCAGCAATTCCCAGTCATTTCCTGCCCCAAAATACTCATGATGAGCACGAGGCCACGGGCTGCTGGTACCCTTCCCTGTGAGGCTCCTGAGGGCTGTGGCCTGGCCGCCCTCGGCCCTTGAGGGGCACTGGCAGGTTGGAGGCTGGGGTCTGCAGCTGCCCCTCACTCACCTTCTGGCAGGCTGTGGACGGCCTCCTCCATGCCCGCTCCCTCCAAGCCTTCCATGCTTTCCCCAGCCATGGCCCCCCAGCCCTCAGGAAGAAGTCCGTGTTCTGCAGCCGGTCTCACAGCACGCTCGGCATCTAGGCCTTGCCTGCCTTGCCCCTTCTTTTTCCCATTCAGCTGGCAGCTCCTTATTCTTCAAAGCCCAGCTCAGGTACCCCCGCCTCCAGGAAGCCTTCCTTGACTACTCAGTCTGTTTCCTTATCTGCCTTCCTGCTGGGCTGTGAACAGCTGAAATTGAGGGAGGATCCGTCCTCACCTCACATTTCCAGTGTGGCCTGAGCCGGTGCTTGGGTCTTGGTACCTGGCCAAAATGTCACCTTACCTGAGCCCCACCTTCAGGGTACCCTTCCTGGCCTGTGGCCCTCATTATTGCAGGAAGAACCTCTTGGGACAGAGGGGAGCCCCAAGCTGGCCTTAAGTGTGAGGGCTGGGAGAGCTGTCCCCCTAAGCCTGGAGGGCGCCGCACCCTCCGCTTCCTCCCATTGTGCCGCCTTCCTGTTTAGCTGGCCTGTGAGACTAGCCGGTTTTCCTCCCTTTGAGGACCTGCCTGAATGGGCTGTTTCTCCCTTGCCTCTCCCTTGCATCTCCCCTGCCATCTCCCAGGACTCAGACGTCTGGCCCACAGTGGGCTGCACAGCCGGCAGACGTGGGTTTGGTTCCCGGCTCCACCGCTGAGCTGCGCGCGGGGCGGTGAGGGACTTGGTTCATCATTTGTAGAAAGAGAACTGGTGGTTGGTGGTTGAGAGGACCCGATGGGCTCAGGCTGCCGAGCCCTGGGCAGGGGGGCTGTGGTGGCGTCATCACTGTCCCCATTGGTGGACTCTGAGGGGAGCCCTGCTGGCTGCTCACTGGATGCCTGCAAGTCCAAACATCCTGTTCTTCTTTGAGCTCCTTACTGGAGAAACGGGAAGGCTAGTTATTTATTTATTTATTTTTTTTTTTTCTTTTCCTTCTGCCCATATCGGGTGACAAAAACACCAGTCCGGCTGGGTTGAGCTACTCGACTCTGACGTTTAGGAGCAAATCCGAGCTGCCTCACAGGGTGGTGGTTCCTTTCCTGGATTAGGACTGACTCCGTGGGAACCAGACCACCCCTGAGGCAGGACGGCTGCCTCATGGCTCCCCGGGGCCTGGGCCTGCCAAGGAGCCCCTTCCTCCTGGGGAGGGGGCCCGCCGGCCTCACGACCTCCCCGCCCCTCCTGCCTCCTTCCCTGCAGGTGAACTTCCGCAGCCCCCGGAGCGGCCAGAGGTGCTGGGTGGCACGGACCCAGGTGGAGAAACGACTGGTGGTGCTGGTGGTCTTTCTGGCGGCGGGACTGCTGGCCTGCCTGGCAGCACTGGGCATCCAGTACCGGACAAGTAGGTGCCTCTGCGTGGCCTCAGGGGCTGAGCCCGCTCCTGCCCCCACTCAAGTGGACGGGTCTCCAAGGCCAGGAGGACTTGGGCTGCTGAGCTGGGGCGAGACCTGGGAGGTGGCTGGTGCGTGTGGGGTCAGGGTTTAGCGCCCAGCAGCGCAGCATGAGTGACTTATCATCCCTGTGACCTTGGACAAGTCACTTCATCTCCAAGAGCCTGAGTCTGCTCTGTCTTCATGGAGGAAACATCCAGTCTGGGTGTGGCTGAGAGGATAGTGAGGCTCACATGCCTGGTGCCCTGTGAGGTCTTATCCTCCCGGCTGGGTACGGTTAGTGGGACGTGGGCTGGTGGACACGTGAGCTGGCCCCAGCTGTCGTTCCTGGCTCCAACAAGGTGGTAGTAACTGCTTCTGCTTCCTGAATACCTCCCGGGGACCCAATGTAGCACTTCTCCTTTACAGAAGGGACCTCAGTCCTCCTTACCACTCCCCAAACAGGTATGGTTCCTTTGGGTCCATTTTCTGTCAGAGATAACAGGCAGCGAGGCCAACCGACTTGCCTAGGACTATGTGGCTGTAATCTTGGTGCACCCCAGAGTGGACTGGACCCCCCAGAAGAGCTGCCCTTCCATGATCGAGCTGCCTGGAGTACCTCACATTTCTGTCTCAGAGCTGTGATGTGTCTGTTCTCTGTCTGGCTGAGGGGCTCCAGCCCGGGCCTCCAGAGTTGATGTCAGTGAGCATTTTGGACCCAGAAAGGGTGGGTGCAAGTTTAAAAGTCAGGAGGGGCAGCCAGCCAAAGCCGGTGTCTCATGCTCCCCAATGGGTGACGTTCGACTTTCTGACGGCAGGTTGGTGCACCTGGCTGAGCAGCCTCTTGGAGCTTTGCTCAGGGTCTGACTCACCCACCTGGTCACTGCATGTCCCTCCAGAGGGACCTGGAATGTCCACACCAGAAAGGGCTGGACCATGGGCTTGGGTATCGCAAAAGGGTAGAGCCTCCTCAGTCAGTCTTACATCCCTTTTATATAAAGGAATCATTCCTTTGTTCATTCTGCATTCCACAGATGATAACGGTGCTTCCTATGTCAGGTGCGCAGATGGTGCTTAAGAAATAATTGCTTGATGACTTAACTATTTAATGGTTCATAAATGTTTCACCAATGTGCCTGGCCCAGCAGGTACTTATTGCATATTTGATTCATTCATTAATGATTTCTAGGTCCTTAAACATATGTGCTTAGCATAATGCTTAGATCCCCTTGGTGTGCAAATAATCCGCAAAGTGAATAGACAGGGATCGAATGGACAGCTGCGTGAGGAGGCCTACCTGGAGCAGCCTGCTCTGCGGGCTGCCTTGTCCTGCAGCTGCCGTCGTGCCTCGTCCTCAGTCACTCCTTGCTCTTGGCCCTGTACATAAAGCCCAGCTTCCAGCAGCCAGTGGTCCTGACATTGCCCCAAGGACTCCAAGGTGTTTGTCCACTGGAGGCCAGTGGGGATCCCTAGCACTGACTCGTGGACAGCTGGCTTAGTGCTTCTGGTGTCACCGACAGGCAAGGCCCAGGGGGAGGAACCTGCCTCCACCTCTGCCCCAGGCCCCCGAGAGCTCTCAACGGGGTTTCCCCTTCCTGGACCTGGTGAGCGGAACTCCTTCCTGTGCGATGGAGCTGGGCCAGGTAACCCAGGAGCCAGTCCATGTGTCTTTATTGGTTGCGTTGGCCTGGGCAAGCAGCGGCCACCAGGAGTTGACGTGACCTCGTTCCCGAGGTGCTGGCATCTTCCGCATCTGAGCCAACACCGGGCCAGTCAGAGCAGTCATGCTTCTGCAAGGCCCACCTCTCGGTTCTGTGTGGGCACTTAAGGATAGATTTGTCCATCTTCTGGTTACACCCGCCTTATGCAAAAACTTGCAAACAGTGGTAGCAAAACATATTATAAAGTCTTCCAGAAAATATTCCAAAAGGTCTCAGATAGTTCTGAGGCGGTTACCATCTGGCCAGCGCCTGTGAACTAGATCCAGTTCCCACCTTCTTGCAAAACATATTGTAAAGGGAAGAAAGCTTCTGCTTCTGCTTTTGTCCAGACAAGTGCTGAACAAAGCTCTTTCATTCACTCACTCACTCATTCACTCAATGAACATGAATTGATGGTTTGCTGGGTGCCCAGCACAATGAGGGCCAAAGGACATATGGATGTAAGTGACTGCCCCCACCCACACCTCCGCAGACAGGCTGCTGTGACACAGTGTGTGCCGTGCTGGGACGGTGCCTCCGGCAGCCATGGCCCGCGAGGGATACAGGTCTCTGAAGCTCTCCCTGTAGAGATGGCGCCTGAGCCGAGCTTGGAAGGTGTTGGTCTTGACATTAGACAGTGGGGCCTGGAAGCTGTTGATCAGTGGATGAGTATTAGGCTCCTGCTAAGCCAGGAGATACTGGTAAAGGACCTACAAACCATTAGTTAAATAATCAAGTGATTATTACTCAGGCACCACCCACATGCCCTGCCTCGCGCGCGCGCTCAGCATAGGTGCTTTGTGGGAACTCAGACCTCCAGTTCCTGGGACTGGTTTCTCACTTTGTGTTAAAGCCAGTCACTGTCTCTCTCTGCCTCTGTCTCTCTCTCTCTGTCTCTCTCACACACATGCGCACACACACGCTGCTCTCTGGCTCCCGGGGCTTGCCCTCCTCCCGGGTAGCCCCACACCAGGGTTTGGTCAAGCCCTCCTTCCTGCAGTTTGTTGTAGGAAATAATAGGCATTTTTCTTCCCTCTTCCCAGGACAAAGTTGGGTCAGAATAGTGAATAGGCTTTTCCAAACTAAATGGAAATTCTCTCCACCTGCCCTTCCCCCTTCACTCTCGTGAAGGGCCTGGTTTGTTCTCTGTCGTTGGGAAGTGGGCACCAAAGTCTGATTAGCACCATCATATCGAGAGATATTTCAGAGGGGGCCACATCCCGCCATTTTCTTTCTCTTTTCATGCCTGGTGGTTCAGTAACTTCTAATGGTTATATAATCATCTCAAAATGAGTAATTATCTCAAAGTCACCCAGTGTCTGTGCTATGGGTGGCTCCTCTCAGCCCATGGTCAGTCTGCAGGACTGTCCTCAGGTGCTAATAAGCCCCTGGGACGCCAGCCCACTCCACACTGACTGGCATTATGTGTGGACTGAGGTGAAGACCACCCTGCCCGCCTGTGCTTTCTCCTCCACTCCCAGACTGCCCCAGGGACTCCCCACCCTACAACTCATGAGACTGGACCAGCTTCTCCAGCCGTAGATGTCATCATCACCTGAAATGGGCCCCACAGTTCTTCCTCACGTCTAGGTGGAGAAACTGAGGCTCAGAGCAAGGGGTCACTTTCTTGGGGGTCACATCCAGAAGCAAGAGGCTGAGATTAGAACCCTGGCCTCAGAGCAGCTGAGGCCTGCCCTGCCTTGCCCCCTCCCCCCAAGGGAGCAGGGAAGCACAGCCCTCCTGCCCATCTTGGTGTCGTTCACCCAGAGCTTCCTCATCCTCGTTTTGAAGGGGTGTCCCACCTGCCTCTGGCGCCTGTCATGAGGCCTCTGTGAGGTCACAGACCGTGTGGCGGGCCGGCACAGCAGGAGGTCCAGCAGAGGCCTGGCTGCCTGGCTGTGTGTGCCGACGGTGCATGCGGGCTGGTGTTCTCAGTCACCGCCTGGCTCTGAGGCTCCGTCTCTGCATCAGGCTCCTCCTCAGCTCCGAAGGGGCCAGCTGAGGTCACCTCCAGCTTGGTTCCTTTGCTGGAGTCCACCCCCACCCAAATGCAGGGATGCTGCCTCCTCTTGCCTTCGAACAGCCCCCGCTTTCTCTGTCCTGTGTCCTCTGAGAGGAAGTGGACCTCTCTGCTTGTAGGACTTGGCCCTCCCCCACTGCCCACCTGCCCCGACCACCTCTTTAGGCTGGCACCTGGGAGGTGGGGCCGCCCTCCTCCTGGCAGTGTGGTGCCCTCTCTGGGGGGCTCCCTTCAGGCCCAGAGCAGGCATCGTAGCAAAGGGTAGGGTTCAGATCCCCTTGACCGTTAGGCAAAGTCTCAAAGCCTCAGTCTCCTCATGTATGAAAGTGGCCTCAAGCAAATTGGTCTTTAGGGCTATTTGTTTTGTCTTTGAGAATTAAGTTGCCTTGTACCGTGTCCTGGGAAGGATTTTTATAGTTGCTTCTACTCCTGGCCTCACTGTCTGCGGCATGCAGTTAACAAGTACTTAGCACTCAGTTTATGTTCGTAGTGTGGATGGCAGACATTTCTCCTGCTAATAACCTTGGGCTTTTCTCATATCATAAGTATCCCAACTAAATTACTAACTTTTTTTAATGCATAGAAGAACTGGGGTACAGGCCAGAGGTGCAGGGATGTGAGAAGATTCACCAAAGACAGAGTGGGGAGCAGAACAGGCAGACTGACTGAAATGCACTGCTAAGGGGAGCAGCGGGCAGGACAGGAAGGTCTGTCGTGCCATGTGGGTCACTTCCCTGGCAAGGACCGAACTCAGCTTAGTGCTGAGACTCGATCCCTAGGCCAAATGACTGACTCTCGAAGGAAAGAACTGTGCCTTTTATACCTCCTACCCCCACAAACGCTGCGTTCAGCAAGGAGCTGGGAAAATGCAAAACAGTTGTTCTATTGAATAAATGAATGCATGAATGAGTGCGTGCACAAATTTGTTGAACTCCAGGGAATAATAAAAAGTTGGTGAATATTTGTACAAAGAAGGCCTAGTAAAGAGAAGTGCCTTGGTTCTCAGCACTTTATAGGCCATAGGAAGGATTTTAGGGAGCCAAACTGAAGTCCTTCTGGTGAGGTCCAGGATGGGGCATGGCACCCAGAGCCCTTGGTCACTGCTCTGCATTCTCACAGCCTTCTCCCTGTGTCCACCCCCACTACTTGTCTTCCTTTGCCAGGAAGCCCCCCGGTGTGTCTGAGCGAGGCCTGTGTCTCAGTGACCAGCTCCATCTTAAGTTCCATGGATCCCACCGTGGACCCCTGCCAAGACTTCTTCACCTACGCCTGTGGTGGCTGGATCAAAGCCAACCCTGTGCCTGATGGCCACTCTCGCTGGGGGACCTTCAGTAACCTCTGGGAACACAACCAAGCCATCATCAAGCACCTCCTGGGTAAGCACCTGCAGGGGGACCAGTGAGCGGGGAGGGGTGTAGCCAGCTGGCGCTGGTCAGCGGTCCTTAAAGGAAGAGCTTAGAGGAATGGGAAACCAGAGGCTTTGGAATAGGTAAAGCAGGACTAGGCTTTTGCCCCTTCCTGCGTGTGATCCTGAGTAAGCTGCTGGTCTGCCAACCTCAGTGTCTTCGTCTGTAAAATGGGCCTGTCAGCCCCAAACTGCAGAGGTCTGGAAACCAGAGTGCACACAGGGAAACATCGGCACAGGGGTGCGCTCGTGGTAGACGCGTGAGGCTGGTGCGGAGCTCAAGGCTTCTCTGCAGCCGAGTGTTGGGCTAGTATTGGCGCTTTTAGAAGTCGTGAGCAAAAGGAGTCCAGGCTGAGCACAGGAGATGAGATTCTACAGTTGTACTCCAGACGAGTTGTAACAGTGGTTTTTCTGAGGCTCAGTCACCCAGGAAGGGCTCGTCCCTGCCCCGGGGAAGCGGGGCTCTCTTTGCTGCCTGTTGGGCCTTGAGAGGTCATCTTGACCTTGGTGCGGAGGTGGGGGTGTGGGGGGGGCGTGTTATCCTTAGATTAGAATCCTACGTCTCTCTTACTTGCAGCCATGTTATTTGCAAGCATAGTGGATGTTTGGGGGATCGACATTTGCCCATCGGGATCCTGTGGTGAAATCCCAATACCTGTGTTTGAGTCAGAGGTCCTGACTCAAACCCCTCAGCAGCCGGGCCCTTTGCCAGACCCCGCCTCTCCTGTGACCCCTGCACCTCCATGGCGAGCCAGGCGGCACCTTGAAAAACCAGCCAGCCAGTCGTCGGGAAACACTGTTTCAATGAAACTTTAAAAGAAGGTCTTGAAAACCTTCAAGATACTCAGAAGCAGGTAGAAATTGTAAATACCTCAAAGGAGACAGCGCCCTTCCTGAAAGTAGGGAAGTCGAACGTGACTGTTGTCTTTGAGGTGAAAGTGGAAATAAGCAAACCAGGAAAGGACAGCTCTCTCTTTCCCTGCCCGGCCCCACGGCCGTGACTGCTGCTGGGTGACACCCTCACTGTTCCTCCTCGGCCCTGGCAGCGCCCTCAGCCACATGCCCCTGTCTGAGTGCTCCAGGTGGGGCTGGAGCAGCTTTCTCTGAATGGGGCGGCGCAGCCACTGCCATCTTTGGTCGGAACCAGCCTCCCAGCCCCGAGCTGGCAGGCACTTGGCTGGGTGATGGCCAGCCTGGAGCTCAGCTGTGTCCTTGCCCTTGCACCTGGAGAGGGGGGCGGGGGCCGGGGCAGGTGGCAGGAACCGTGGACCAGAGCAGGGGTGGGGTGACAAGATGGGCTGGCCCCTCTGCCTCCGGCACCAGGGTCGGGTGCAGATCCTGCTGGCGACTTAGCGTGTGTTTTGAGTCCATCCTGTGAACTCCGGCTTCCGCCCTCGTCTGTGCAGCGGGAACCAGGCCCCTGCGGGCTGCGCACTGAAACAGGAACATAACACTTAAAGTGCTTTGTCTGGGCCTGACTTGTGGCGGCGCCTGCTGTTTATGGTGTTACTGCTGCGCCTCACAGTGTACAGAGCTCTTTCGTCAGTGTCACCCTGTTTGACTCTGGAGGGTAGAAGCCAAGAAGGTAGGTCCCCAAGACAGACTGCTAAGTCACAGACTAGGACATGCCTGGCCACGTGTCCTTCCCTGTCCTACCTTCCCCCCTCAGGTACAAGGGACATCATGGCCATGGCCCCCGCCCCCCAGCCTCCCCCGTTTGGGGAGAGGCTGCAGGACAGACCGAGCGTCTGATTAAAAGGGAAGGAGACTGATGTTCGTTGTGTGTCTGCTACGCGCCTTGCCCGATTGGGACTCTTCGTCTCACTGCCATCTGGAACAGAGAGGGCTCGAGGCCCCAGGAGCTAGCAGGAAGAGGGGGCAAGGGGAGAAAGGCAGATGGGCACTCCATGTGCCAGCTGGACCCGGAGCCAGCCCTTATGTAGGTGCCTGCATACCCTGACCTGCTGGGCCTGGGCTGGGCCTTAGCAGGAGGCCCTGGGGTCTACACCATGGCCGTATCCATCCCCGCCCCACCTCCAAGTGGCAGGGACCCTAGGTTCCGGCTGCATGACCCTGACCCTTTGGGTCAAGGTGTGGGTAGGAACAGACCAGCCAGAACCATGTGTCCAAGCCTGACCCAGGCCATGGTCTGGTGCTGTCAGGGGGCCAGGCTGCAGGCCTTTGAAGTCAGGCCAGCCTGGTGTGTTAGCTTACCGCCTGCATGGCCTTGACCGCAACCGGCTCCTCTCCGGCTGGCTTTGTTATCTGTGAAATGGGGTAAGGGCGCTCTAATCTCCTAGGTTGCTGCCAGCAGTGACTTACCCGTGATAACTTGGATGCCACCCGAGGCGCATGCCAGCTGAGTGACCGGGGACACTCCGCCTCTCAGGTCCCTGGCCTCCCCGTACAGTGGGAGCTAACGCAGCGCCTTGAGAAGGATGGAGGGGACGCCTGAGGACATTGGGGTGGTCGAAGAGAGCACTGTTTTCAGGGAAGGAGGTGGTCATGTCGCCCCTTTGTCCATGGCTAGGCTTGGAGCAGTCGTCGCTTCCCATCTTGCACACGTTCAAAGGGGACAGCAGTGCTGGGATTCAGGCCCAGGGTCGCAGGCTGCGGACCTCACTGCTGCCAATGCTGAGTCAGCGTGGCCAGCGGAGGCCACGGCACAGCCCACGAGTGGGGCCCACCAGCGTCCTTTCCCACTGGCTGCTTGATTGAGCTGGCCCTGCCAGCTGGGCGAGACCTGATGGACACAATGACTGGGGTCACCCCCAGGTCGTACTGACCAAGTGCTTCCCTGGGAGGCACATCCTGGTGCTCATTCCTGGGAACTGGTCAGGGAAAGGCCCTTCCCGTGCAGGCCTGGCTACCTGGAAAACCCTTGCAGGGGCAAGAGCAGGTGAGTGGGTGACAAAAAAATGCAGGAGCGTGGGCCAGCGCATTCTTGGGCTGAAGGCCAGGCTGGGTTCAACTTCCCCTAGACAGAGGGTTCGGCCAGCAGGTCTCAGGAGGGAGCTGCCACTTCCGGGGGTTGGGCCACACGGGAGTACCTGCACTGTCCACAGTGGGCAGACTGCCCTAGGTGCAGGGAGGGGAGGAACATGCAGTGTGCCCGTGGGGATGTGCCAGCTGACCGGGAGCACCGCTTTTACCATCAGCTTCCTGGGTGACTCCAGCCAAGTCGCCCTTCTCTGCACGGTGAACTCGCTCTGGGCCCCTCAGAGGAAATCCAGGCAGATCTGTGCTGGCCTGTATGGAACAAGGCCAGTTGCTCCCTGGCTTGTCCTTGCAGCCCACTGACTTGAGCTGCCACAGAGGCCTGGGCTGCCGTCCTAGGCCTTGGGGACACAGCATGGGGGCCGTCCCTCAGGGACAGGACACAGCCAGACCCGGCACGCCTTAGCCCAGGCCTCACCCTGCGCTTTCTAGCTGGTGCTTTTGGCAGACACGCTGCTGTCTGCAGAACCCACTGCGTTGCTCCCGGTACTGCAGGCTTGTCTCAGACCGCCCCTAGCCTGCCTGCCACAGCTGCCAGAGAGCCGCCCTCCAGCTGGAGCCCCCAGGCTGCTGGGCCCAAGCGCCTGTCTGCACAAGATGAAGGCCCGCCTATTAGAGCAACTTGAGCAAGGCTGATTCTGCAAAGAAAATGGGGGGGGGGGGGCGCGTTCCTGAAAGCGCAGCGGGTTAGAGCACAGCACTGTGAAGCTCATGCAGCCTCTTCATGTGAGTTCGATCCCCAGCCAGGGAGCTCCTGTCTCCCTGGCTATTCCCCTCAGCAGCACATTCCAGTAGATCTGCCTGTTCTGCTCCCCACTCTGTCTCTGGTGAGTCCTCTTGCCGCCCCCTGCACCTCTGGCCTGTATCCCAGTTCTGTATGCATAAATAAAAATCCTTAAAAAAACAAAATAAAATGTAGTTATCAACCCCACACACATCCCCTGGAGCCCCCATCCCTGAGAAATACTGACAGTCCCACCAAGTGACATCCTGTGCGGGTGTCAGTGATTTGGTAATTAATTTTGTCGCCTGTGACATCACTTAAGAGTTTCTGTTTTTCCAATATATTTTTCTAAGATTTATTTTTATTAATTTATGCATCAAGAACTTGGGTGCAGGCCAGAGGTGCAGGGGGTGGGTAAGAGGAATTTCCAGAGAGAGTGGGAAGCAGAACAGGCAGAAATCCACTGCTGAGGGGAGCATTGGGCGAGACAGGAGAGGTCTGCTGCGCCACGCGGGTCAGCACTGGTGGCTGGTGATAGCGTCATAGCGCTGAGACTTACCCCTTGCACCATCAGGGAGGCCCTGTGTTTCCAGTATTTAATGTCTGATTTGGTTTCCATCTTCCTGTGCATACTGGAAGCTTTAGGGACAAGATCAGCCGCTGACATGATTTCTGTCTAGTTTAGCTTCTGCAGCATTGGGCACGTCTTTCACGTTTGGGGAATGTGGATGTGGATGGATGGATGGATCCCCTGAGGCTGAGGGTGTCTAAGACTCCTTGGGGGCAGCTGGTTTTCTGAGCCAGCTTACGGGGTGGGGGGTGGAGGGCTCAGACTCTTGTTGTTGCCCCAGCCACTTGGGTGACCCTGCACAGGTTACCCAATCTCGTGCGTAAACTGGGCGTGATACTGTTAACACCCACTTGTGGAAATTGTTCTGATAAGCTGCACACACACAGCTGGAGCCACCCAGAAGGAACTGTTCATTTTCCAGGGAGCTTCAGGCTGCCCGGGCCCAGATCCCAACCTGCGGCGTGTCCCCTCTGCCTTCCAGGCTAGTCCCTCATCCCCCTGAGCTTTGATTTCCTTCTTGACACAGTGGGGTGCTGATCTCCATCTCGGGGGTTCACGTGGTGATGCAGAGACCTCAGGCAGGGTCTGGCCTGTGGTAGCACCAGAAACGGCGATAGCCGCATCCTGATTTTGTTCTGCAGGAGGCGCCTCCTTTATCAGCCCCCTACATCCCCTCCCAGGGGGGGCTCCTGAGACCTAAGACCCTGGGTTTGGTCAAAAACAAACACAGGGCTGCGTGCAGAGGAGCTGAGGCCCACGTGCTCCCACCCAGATGCTCTCACTGCAGCTTGGGGAAGGGAGGACAAGACTTCCTAGCAGGCCCCACTCCTGGAGCGCCCCCCCCAAACCCCGGGCATCGTTCTATCCGCCTGGGCACTCGTTTCCTCCTGGGGAGTGACGTGCGTGCACACGTTCCAATAAAAACTCCCAGAGGAAGAAGCAGGTCGATTAAATGGTGTGCTGTCTTCCCGTGCTGGACTTCGGGGAAGTGACTGATGAAGTTTCTGGAACTCAGGGTCCCTGGAGGGAGGTACCTAGGCACTTGGGAGTCCTGTTGTCTGGCCCTGGGCTGCCTCGTTACTTCCCTGCCATGGGGAGTGCCACCTCCCAAGCGTGGCCCCTGGCTCTACCCTGGCAGCCTCCCCTGGACTCCCTGGCTGAAGTGGTGATTGCCTTCGCGGTAGGGTCCCAGGACACTCGCTGGCTCCTGACAGGCCACACTCCCATCCTCCCCTCCCCGCCCTCCCTGCCTCATTACCTGCATCCCAGAGCTCAGAGCTCAGGAGCGGCCCCAGCTGCTGGCTTTCTGCTTGCGGCCTCTGGCCCTGTGTTATCACCCACCTTCACCTTTGCCTTCCAGATGATCTTTGGGCTCTGTCTCACCCCCAGGCTACGGGAGTCTCCTGCTGACTGCCTGCACCACACCCAGTCTGACAGGCCCGAGCCACGTGACCTTAATAAACATTTGTGGGAAAACCAGTGGACTTGACTCCCAGGATGTGGAGCTTGGAGGAAGGAAATTTGAACCCACCTGTGGCGGCTGCTCTGGAGAGAGGCTTTCCTCCCTCCGAGGAGGCTGTGGGGTGTGCCCAGAGCACTGCCAGGCCACCCCAGGTCTCCTATCTCTGTGGCCTGGGGCCCTGGGAGGGGGCCTGCCAGCCCCCTCATGGGGGGAGCACACTCCTCTGCCGCAGGCCGGACATTTCAGGGTCACACGGGAGCCAGTGTGAGGTGAGATACTGCGTTGAGTCTGGAACAGCCTTGTGCTTTCCTATTAAGGGCCTGGTGGCAAGAAGCCAGTGTCATCACTGGGGTCTCACCCTTTGCTTTCCAGATGTCTGAGGAGCACAGAAGTCCTGGGTCCCCATTTCTATTCCCCTCCCTTCTAGGAGGCCCCAGGCGTGTCCAGGACTCAGCAGCATCCCGGGCCTGTATCCCCCTCCTTTTCCTCCGCACTCAGGCCCCTGGACCACGGTCTCTCTACCTCCCTTAAACTGACCCAGGCCACCTCAGGGCCCTCTTTGTCACCCTGCCCTCAGTAAGACGGGGAGACTGCTCCCTGACTGGTGACGAGGGAGGCTCTCGGCTGTGGGCTGGGAGCTGAGCCGAGTGGTCAGGCAGTGACTGACTAGGCCAAATGGTCGCTTCCTGCCAACAGCATGCCCTTGTGTGCATCCTCACTTTTCACATACTGGCGCTCTCCCAAGCCCAGGGGCTGTTTCCTTCATCCCCACCTGTGAGCCACTTTTTGCCTCTAAGAATGCCAGCTTCAGTAGAATGTCCTCTGGAGGCCCCACACCCCACATCCCCCCCCCCAACCAGAGCATGGATCATCGCTGGTTCCAAACCTTTTGCTTTGACCAGAGTACTCTGGTGCCCTGCCCGGGTCCTCTGCGCCCTGTGTCTACCTTAGCCCGTGAGCCCCCAGGGGCCGCAGTGGATCTGAGTCACACTTTCGGACATGGTAGCCAGCTTGCTGCTGCACCCATAGGTGCTCAGAGTGAGGGCCTGCAGGGTGAACACCTGAGGAGAGGCGTCATGAGGAGGATGGCCTCTGAGAGGGGCTGTGAAGCCCAGACAGGGGCTGATGGTGTCCTGTCTGAGCGCTTTCTTTTTTTTTTTTTTTAAGATTTATTTATTTATGAACACAGAACTGGGGTACAGGCCAGAGGTGCAGGGGATGAGAGGATTCATCATCAGAAACTGTGGGGAGCAGAACAGGCTGGCTGACGAAGTTTACTGCTGAGGGGAGCAGCAGGCGGGTCAGGAGAGGTCTGCCGCGCCATGTGGTCACCTCCGGGGCAGGCGGGGATCAAACTCATGAGGAAGCAGCTTTAGCTTCTCAGTGCTGCGCTTTGACCCTCTGCATCACCAGGGAGGGCCCTCCATGAGCTCTTTCTGTGTTACTCGTCGGTGGTCTGTGTCCTCATGCTGAAAAGGAAACCCCGTGGGGTCAGGGACGTTGTATTCTGGGTCCCTAGAGCTTGCACAGTACCTGGCACAGAACAGGACTCTCATGTCTTTTTAGTGGGTGAACAAAGTTCTACCAGAAAAACCTTCATGGAAGGCTTGGGCTGTGGGGGAGTCTTTGAAGGAAGCAAAGGAGTTTGACGGTCCAGAGGAGTGACTCTGATTTGAGGGCAAGTGACCCGAACAGTGAGGAATTTCCCAGGGAGGGAGCAGACCTGACGGGTGGAATTGAGGGGCTCGTGCCGGGCTTTGAGACAGGCGGTCGGGCATGGGAGCCCTGGCACCCAGTGGGCCTTCGTGGATCTGAACAGTAGAAAGTGGTTGCCTTAGTAAGTGTGGACAGGAGCTTTCCTGTGCTTGTGCACGTACAGCAGTGCAGCCCTGGTGGCTTCTGCTGGGGAGGAGGGGACAGTCCCACGGGTGTCGTGGGATAAAGGGTTGGGAAGGGGCTTGCAGGGTGGGGCAAGCGTGGAAAAAGCCCCCCCACCCCACCTTGGAGTGAAGCCTGAGCAAGAAACATGGCCCCACTGAGTAATTGTAATATAAATTCAGCCAATGGGGCTTTAAAGCTCAGGCCAACCCAGTCATTATCCAGGAACCTTTGTCTGGATCTGCAACCAAGACAGGTCTTTGTGGCACACAGGGGTGTTATGCCAGGGGGTGTTTGGGCCATGTGTGCCCCCAGGACATCCCTGCTGCCAACTCAGGGGTTGTCTGAGAATCAGAACCTCAGAGGGAAAAGACATGGCCTCCTCTTCTTTGTGGCCAGCTGACATGAAGTGGTCGGCCACTTTGCATGACTACCCAGGGGCAGTCATGTACCCCAGCGAGTGAGTGGCTCACCGCTGCCCAGATAGCCTTGCTGTTTCCGGCTGAGCGCGCCCAGCCTCTGAGGACACACCCGGGGCCACCCAGTGTGCAGAGGGGGGCACACTGCAGCTCTGCTGTCTCTTGTCATTCCAGAAAATTCCACAGCCAGTGTCAGTGAGGCAGAAAGGAAGGCCCAGGTTTACTACCATGCGTGTATGAACGAAACCAGGATAGAGGAGCTCAAGGCCAAGCCCCTGATGGAGCTGATTGAGAAGGTGAGGTCCCTGGCAGACATCCCCTGGCTCTCCCTGCCTCTGACTTCCTCCCCAGCTCTCGGGACCCAGCCCCCCCTCACCCAGCGGGACTATAAAGCCTGGGGTGCGCGCGTCTATTATAAATGTCTGCCACACCAATCATCCTCTGTACACCTGTGTGTGGGACAGTGGCCATATTTACAGGGAAAATGTCTCTCTGCGTTGCTGCGGCCATCTCCTCAGACGGCATGTTTGTATGTGAGGCGGGATGTGTGTGTTCCAGACGGGCCCACAGAAAGTCTTAGACCAGAACTAGGATCCTGTTGGGGCGGAGGACACTCACCCTGCGCTCCCCTTCCTCCTGCAGAGAAGTCTCTTCCCTTGTGCCTTTAGGCACCTGGAGCTCAATGTGGTCCCCCCAGGGTGGCTGTGATGTATACTGGCTGCCCCCCAGCTCCCTGGAGGCCCCACCCCAGATCAGTTTAAGGGGTGCAATGCAGCAGTGTGGGGACCACGGGCCCAGTTTCTCCTCTCCGACACAGGCCCACACGCCTGCACGTGCCCAGCTGAGTAAGGTGGAGGAGGTTAAGGAAGGTCACAGACCTGAGGATTCCAGTAGCCCACATGCAGGCCTCTCTTCCCACACGCACAGTTGAATGTGTTTTCACAGCAGCTGCCCTTGTATGAATCAGTATTGATAAAGCAGGATACAGGGCTGCCCCTCCTGGCCCGCCCCGGCAGCAGCCGCCATGCAGACTCCCTGTCTGAGGAGCAGTCGGCTCCCCCGGGCCTCCAGTTCACTGATCAGACACCCACTAAACAAAGATCCTCCTTTCCTTGCCCTTGAGCCCAAGGTCCCGGAGCAAGTCAGCAAAAGCCAAATTCACCCCCTAGCGTGGCATCACCTCCCCGCTTTCTCCCCTCCGCACAGCTCGGGGGCTGGAACATCACCGCCCCCTGGGACAAGGACAACTTCCAGGACACCCTGCAGGTGGTCACCTCCCACTACCGCACCTCGCCCTTCTTCTCCGTGTACGTCAGCGCTGACTCCAAGAACTCCAACAGCAACGTCATCCAGGTGAGCCGACCCGAAACCCCATTTTGAGTTCAGCTGGTGCTGGGGTGTGGGGTACTGGGGGGCAGCCTTCTGGAGGTCAGTCTGGAGGCAAGGAGTTCTAAAAGGCCAGACTGCCCCCTTGGGCAGGTGGGGTCACAGGTGACTCTGCTGGTTTTCGATGGGTCACTGTGGACCCCAGGAGCAGTGCCAGCTGCCAGGCCCAGCCGGAGCCACCTCCTCCGCCTGAGGTCCTGCTTGGCCTGGCTGTGCATTTTCCCCACCAGGGGAGGCCCATGCTGGCCGGCCCACTCTGGGCACGGAGGGGCTGCATTTCCCCCATCTCTGCCCCCCTCAACCCCCCACTGTGTGACCTCAGGCAAACGCTTCAACCTGCCTGAGCTGCACTTTGCTCAGCAAGCAAATGAGCTGTGCCCAGGTATGCCACGGCATAGCCATAGGCACTGGGTGGTATTTTTGGCCTTCCTGACCTGTCCGGCTCTCAACAAGCCCTTTCCTAGCTCTCTCCTGAATCCTGCTCCCCAGGTTAGGGACACCCTATTCCAGATGAAGAACTTGAGGGCCAGAAAGGGCTAGTTCCTTAACTAAGGTCACACAGCTTGTGAAGACTTAACCGCGCTGTCGCCTGAGGAGCGTTTGATGACACAGGCCCTTGCCAAGGCCAGGAGGCCTGTGAAGAGGAAGATGACTCTGTCCCGCTTCGGGGGGCTTGAGTCCCTGTGCTGGCCCCAGGCTGGACAAGAGCACAGTGGGCCCGTCCCAGGGGCGGCCGCAGCCACTGTGTGCACAGCCGTCCCTGGGGAGGGGGTCAGGGACCTGCAGACAGGGGAGCGCCCTCACGCCCTCCTTTCTCTCCAGGTGGACCAGTCTGGCCTGGGCTTACCCTCCAGAGACTACTACCTGAACAAAACTGAAAATGAAAAGGTGAGGTCACCTTTCTAGGGAGAATGGCTCCCGCGGCACCACCTGCCTCCTCCCCACAACAGCTCACCTCTCCCAGTGTCCCCCGTGCAGGTGGTGGTAGGTGTTCCTGCCTGTGGGTGCAGGCAGTTCCTGGCCCGTGAGACCGCCAGGCTGGCTCAGTCAGGTATCGAGGGGGCCGGGGGACAGGTGTCGTGGTGCCGTCTAAAGCAAGGCCACGATAGCAGCCATACTGTTTGTGGGTGCCCAGCCTTATGTAGCCATCGCTCCTGGCCCCCACCCTCAGTAGCCCCGCAAGACTTCACCCACCTGATCTGTTGCATGCTGTGTCTTTTCCTTGCCTTTTACAGAGGAGAGTAAGGCTCAGGGCTATTGAGTGGCCGGTGGAGGTTGCACAGCCCATACTTCATATCCAGAGCCCCCAGAGCCCACGTCCGCCCCTCGCAGGCTGCCTGTCCTGGTGTCCTGGGGGCCCAGCTGTGGCTCACCGACTGCTCATTCTTTTTCCACCCGCAAGCACCTACTCGGTGCCAGCCCGGCCTCATGGTGCCAGGAATCCAGCAGGGGAGCCAGACTTTAATGAACTAACTTTTGCTCCAATCATTGCAGTGACAAATTGCAATAAGTGAGCGGTGAGCTGAGAAACTTACCTGGGGACTTAATTCAGATCTGGGATGCGATAGTGGCAGACGGTGGCCTTATTAGTGGCTTTCCTGCCAAACGGCCAGGAGGTGATAGCAGGGGCCAAGCCACACAGGACCTGCGGGCTTTACCCGAGGCCGCTGGGAGCCCCCAAGACACGGCCTGGAATCATTCTTGCTGCTGGTTTCCAGGGTGCCTCCTGGGTGAAGCCTCCCACTCCCTGTGCCAGGCTGAAGCCAGCCCTGCTCTGCCCGCTTGCCTAGGGGGCAGTGCCGGGCTGCAGCTCCTAAGGGTTTGGGGTGCCGGCCCCACAGGTGCTGACGGGATACCTGAACTACATGGTCCAGCTGGGGAAGCTGCTGGGCGGGGGTGATGAGGACGCCATCCGGCCCCAGATGCAGCAGATCCTGGACTTCGAGACGGCGCTGGCCAACATCACCATCCCCCAGGAGAAACGCCGCGACGAGGAGCTCATCTACCACAAAGTGACCGCGGCCGAGCTGCAGGTAAGTGCCGAAGCTGGTACGGCCGTGGGGCGGCGAGCTCTACTCCCGCCCCAGTACACCCTCAGCACAGCCCCGTAGGGCAGGCGTGACCGTCACCCCCAGTTCACGTGGAAAAACGGAGGCTTGGAGCGTCAGGCTCGCCGCTGGAGGCCACGCAGCTGCCTCTTGCGCTACGGCAGGCTGCCTTCCTGTGGCAGCTTTTCCCGGGAAGATGGAGGAGGGCGGTGCCCATCTCCCAGCTCCTGGAGCCTGGGTAGAGCAGACAATAAACGAGGGATGGGTTCCGGCCTCTCCTCTCCCTTTCCCAAGCCAGAGGCTCGGGGGTGTTCTGGGGAGCTGCACATTGGACTCAGACTCTGCTCACTGTTGCTCTGTCCTTGACCATGTCCCCTGTGACTTCCTAGGGGAGTCAGGAGGTTGGGGTCCCAACTGCACTGCCTGCTGTGCCAGGCAGAGCCCAGTGAGACCCCAGGGCCCCTCTGTAGGTCAGCCTCAGCCCAAGGCTGCCCCCTGGTGGCCGCCCGGCAGTGCCTGCCGTGTCCCCACACTTCCCCGGGGGCTGCAGTCCGGCCTTCCCCCAGGTCCCCAGGGTTGCAGAGGAATCAGCCAAGAAGGCTCCAGCAATCTTCCTGGTTCCTGCCGTTGCCGGAGAATTCTTGACTGGACCTTCCTTCCCCTCTGGAGGGGACGTCCAGGCCCCTGGTGTTGGGGTGCCACCAAAATGGCTCCTTCCTTCGCTGCCTTCCCCCCACCCAGTGTGCCTGGCGGAACTGGGTTCGCCTCCTCTCCTTGTAAGGGAGCACCAAGACCCCTCGCCTGTACCTGCCCCCACTCTGCCCACAGGAGTCTGTGGGGCTACCGTGGGTCCTTGCTCTTGAAGAGCGCCTGGCTCCGTCCAGGTGTCAGAGCCCTCTAGGTCCCCGGAGATGCTGACGAAAGGGAGCGTTCTGGTGGGTTGTCGTGAAAGGCACCATCTGGCACTGTTTTTTCTCCCCAGGACCAGGAGGTCAAGGGAGCTGCTGTTTGAGCAGTAAGGTTTGCTCTGCTCCATCAGCCCCAGGGCCCCACAGTCCCTCAGCACCCACCATGACCTGAGCATCCGACCAGCCAGGTGTCCTCTCCTGTCACGTCTTCTGTGCCCTTCCCAGCGGGAAAAGTTCCTCTAGCTGCACAGCTGCCAGGCTGGGGAGACCTTAGCAGTGTCAGCAGCAGCCTGGAGGCGTGTGGGCCCTGGGCTGGGGGTCGGGCTGCATCAGCCCAGCCCCACTACGACCTGCGTGGCCATGGACAAGTCCCCTAACCTGCCTCTCTGGACTTTGGTTTTCCCCCCTTGTGAAATGGGGCTTTGTGGGTTCATTCATCTGTGCTCTGTGCCAGAACCAAGAGGCCATGGGAGGCCTGACCCTGGCCAAGGCCAGGGTCTTCACTTAGAGTCCTTTGAGAACAGGCTGAAAAGCCTAGAGTGGCTCCCAGAAGAAATGGACACACATGTATATAAATATCAACATTTAAAGACATTCCGAACCCTGAAACTTGGTGTCCTGGAGAAAATTTCTGCCCACTGTACTGTGAGGATGACAAAAGCTGAGGTTTCACCTGGCAAGCTGGCACTCATCGTGAGAACATCGCTAGCATTGTCCCTTGGTCACTGGTGTGCCAGCCCAGTCCCCAACCCAGGCCAAGTTGACTCACTCTGCCCTGGGACAGACTGTCTGGCTGTCTCCTGGTGTCTGGAAATCTGACTTTCTTCCCATACTCCCAGGGATGCAGGGAAAGGCCCCTGCCTCAGCCCACAGGGGGCTTTGAGTTCAGGAGCTGCACCAGCGGGGCCTCGGGGCCTTCCCTATTTCTTTCTGGGCCTCACCACACAAAAGATTGTTTGGAATTATGTCCCCTCCACCCTTGCCAGTCTCCGCTCAGAGAAAGCCCGAGGCATCGGCACCCCCACCTCGCCCTCTCTGCAGCCTCCTGGCTGCTTGGTGGCCAGCCGTGTTCTCTGGCCTCAGGTCTAGGAAATCGAGCGGGTCCATCTCCATGGAGACGGGCCCAGGCACACATTTAAGCGAGTTCACCGAAGCAGTAAGCATTGGAGTTGTGAAAATTGATCTCGCATGTTCTCTCAGGACTGCGCACATTTACCTGCACAGAACACCTGCCCTTCCCAGAGGGACAGGCTTGTTTTCGGTCGGCGGCTGTGTTGCCACCTGCTCTCTGGACCCTGACCAGACTGTTATCGTTGCCTGCTGTTTATGGGGCTTTCATCAGTTATAGAAACAATGACATTTTGTAAAGTTGGCCATCTTCCCGGGGTCTCTGCCAGTGGGTTATGCCGCCAGGGAGCTGTAAGCACTGAGCCCGAACGAACCATGTCACAAGGACACCTGCACATTCCGCAGCCACAGAAATGGGAAGCAGAGCCCAGCACCTGGCTGCCTGGCAGCAAAGCCTAGGGGAGAGGAAGCAAGTTTTTTGAGCCCAGCGATCCCTGAGGGAGCAGAGCAGCAGCCCCAGTTGGGGGAGGGAGGCTGAGGGGTGTTCCTCATTTTACTTTTTTAAAGATTAATTTATTTATGCATACAAGATCTGGGGTACAGGCCAGAGGTGCAGGGGGTGAAAGCTTCCACTGAGACAGAGTAGGGAGCAGAACAGGTGGATTGACTGAAACACACTGCTGAGGGGGGCAGTGGACGAAACAGGAGAGGTCTGCTGTGCCATGTGTGTCACCCTCTGGCCAGGGTTCGAACTCGTGCTGCAGTGGCTGCAGAGAGCTCCATAGGGCTGCGCTTCAACCCGTTGCTCCACCAGGGAGGGTCCTGCACATGGCTTGAGATCCCAGAGCCAACTCTTGGAGGCTTCTCCCAACCAGGGCCCCTTGTTTCCTTAGCGGGCCCCGCTGCCTGGCGGGCTCCTTGGTTTGAAGGCCACCAGGCGCCTTTCCCCAACTCTAGGTGCAGGTGGTCATGGTAGGAATACTCACCCACATACATACCCAGCTTTTCCTCCCCTACTGAAGGCTGTCCTCTTACCCTGGATGTTCCAGACCCCATGCCTGAGAAAAATCACCCGCACACAAAGCAATTTACAAACACAGCGTCATTCTAGAATTTACCAATTGTGGAGAAGTTAGTTGATGTTGCTGAGACCAGTGTTGCGTCAACAAGAGTTAACCCTTGTTTTAGACCTTTATATAACCCTGAGGTGAATTTTAATATGATGGGGATTCCCCCTTTTCCAATGAGATCCCGAAGATTATACAGTAAACAAGCTGGAAGATGACTGCAGACAACTGAGTCCAGATTTTTTTTTTAAGATTTTATTTATTTATGCATACAGAACTGGGGTACAGGCCCAAGGTGCAGGGGCGGTGAGAGGATTCACCAGAGACAGAGTGGGGAGCAGAACAGGTGGCTTGACTGAAACACCCTGCTGAGGGGAGCAGCGGGCGGGACAGGAGAGGTCTGCCGCACCATGTGGGTCACCTCTAGGGCAGGGATCGAACTTGCACTGAAGTGGCCTGGGTAAGACTTGCAGTGCTGTGCTCCAACTCTCTGCACCACCAGGGAGGGCCCTGAGTCCAGATTTTTCATACTTGTACATTATAGGCCCGCCTGACGTTTAGTTTCTTCATCAATAAAGTAGAGATTGCTGTCCCTGCCTGCTAGGTGTCATGAGGTCCAATGGAGGGAAAACATGTGAGTCATTTGCAAAAGATCCTGATGCAGGAAAAGCTTGTTCAAGGGTAGCAGTTGCTGCTGTGCTTGTTCTTAGTCTGTTCTAGTTCCATTTCAAGTTCAAGTTTCTGTTTGGCTCCTTGGTTATAGCTACAGTAGCTGTGACAAGTCTCTTTGGATACCTGTGGTACAGTCAGGGTCAAGCGCTTGCACGAAGATGGGAAGAAAGATGAACCCTCCCCTCCCCCCCGCCCCCCGAGGCTGGCCCTGGGAGACACAGCCCTGCCAAGTCAAGCTGTCTTCTTCCCTTCCAGACCTTGGCCCCCGTCATCAACTGGTTGCCCTTCCTGAATACCATCTTTTACCCAGTGGAGATCAATGAGTCCGAACCCATCGTTGTCTACGACAAAGAGTACCTTGGACAGGTCTCCACCCTCATCAACAACACCGACAAGTGGTAAGGGATGCCAGGGCCCGGGTACTGGACCCTCACAGGCACACCAGCGGGTCATATATCGCTGCCCACCTCTCAGGCAGGACAGGTGGGGGCTGCAGATGACACTATCTCAGGAAGGTGAACCATGGGGCTGGCTTTTTGTGAGATGCAGCAGGGCACCAGGTTCAAGTCCTAGTTCCTCCTACCTGTAGCCTTGGGCAGATTTCCTCCCCTTCTGCGGGCCCACTTCCTCATGTGAAGGAAGGAGCAACAAATAGCACCTGCCACATACAGTTGTGAGGACTGAGTGAAATATCCACATGAAGCATTGTACTTTAGCATAGTGCCCGACCCAAAATGCAACGCAGTAAATGTTAGCTACTGTATTTAGTTAATGTACATATGATAGGCTTTTTTTTTTAATTTAAAAGATTTGTTGCAGAAGTTTTAAAAACTATGATAAAAGAATTTTAATTACCCAAAACACTACCTTCGATTTCATTGGGTATTTGTAAAGTCTGTATATGTGAGAGATGTAGATTTTGTCAACCGTGGTTCCCTCTCTGCTATCATTATGACTTGGTGTATAGTCTATTTTGTCTTGACCTCTACACAGATCTCATTTTTCATGGCTGTGTAATATTCCATGGAATATACATGTGCTCCTCCTGTTCTCAGACATTTAGACTGGTTCCAGTTTAAGGCTAGATGGTCACTGTAGTGGACATCTCTTTGTGTAAAGGTCACAGCAGCCACAGAGAGTTCTTTGTGCCTCAGGAGTGGAGGTAATGAGAGTTGCCCTCCACGGAGACCCTGGCCTGGGTGCCAAAGCTCCCTTCCTGCCCTCCTGTTCCTAGGCTTCCTTTTCCATCTCTTGGGTGGGAGGGTGATCTTCTGACCAGGACACCTCCGCACTGTGGCAGAACCCTCCCCTTTCCAGCCCAGGGCCATATGCCATCCAGACTGTCGCTGTTTTGCAACAAGCCTGGACTGTGTGTGCACTTACGGTGTACAAGTCACTGCATTAGGCCTTGAGGGGGTTTCTCCAGGACATGAGGTTCCCCCCAGATGAGCAGTAACCAGCCCAAGGGCAACCCAGGAAGGGGCTTGGGATGGGGAGGCTGGGCCTGAGCACCCTGTGAGGTCAGCAGGGGACGTGTGCAAGCTGCAGCCGGCAGGCATTCCTGAGCTTGTGTGGTGTTCTTGCCCCAGCCTGCTGAACAATTACATGATCTGGAACCTGGTACGGAAGACAAGTTCCTTCCTCGATCAGCGCTTTCAGGACGCCGATGAGAAGTTCATGGAAGTCATGTATGGGACGAAGAAGGTGGGTCAGTCCCTGTGCTTTCTCCTTCACATGCTGAGCACCTGTTCTGCACCAGGCCTGGTCTGGGGGCTGCTGTGACCAGGGTACCCCCACCAGGGCCGTGGAACTCATGGGACAGTAGATGATAGGTAGGCATCATCCTGGTGTCCCTGGATGCACAGGAGGGGACCTAAGCCGACTGGGGAGGGGCAGAAGCTTCTGGAGGTGCATGCCACTCTTTAAAAAAAAAAAAAAAGATTTATTTATGCACACAAGAACTGGGGTACAGGCCAGAGGTGTGGAAGTGAGAGGATTCACCAGAGACAGAGCGGGGAACAGAACTGGCAAATCAGCTGAAATACATTGCTGAGGGGAGCAGCGGGGAGTCAGAAGGGGTCTGCTGTGCCGTGTAGGTCAGCTCCCTGGTGGGGGATCAAGCTCAGTGCTGCAGGGCTGGTGATAGCTTCATCATGCTGCACTTTAACCCGTTGTGCCACCAGGGAGGGCCCAGTTTGTTCCACTCTTAAAGGACTCTACAGAGAGTCAGCGCTTTAGCCACTCTTCCAGTCCAAAGTGGCTTCTGTTCTCTTCATCCTCGATGGTGATCTTCACACCTCCTTAGAGGAAGGTACAGTCATCCCCCCCATCTTACACAGGGCACCCCCATAATACTACTTCCTCCCCATAAGCATGACAGTCTCACAGCAGCAGCTGGCTCACGGAGAGTTCACTGGCGCCATCGGGCTCCCGGGCCTCTGCCACCCTTAAGTGTCCACACCACAAGGGTGAGCTCATGCAGAGGCCCCAGGGCTCCAGGCTCTACCCTGCTCTGCCCTCCCTGCAGGAGCCTGCTGCCAATGGGAAGCTCCCCAACCAGCTACTTCCACCTTCTCCCCAAGGACATGGCGGGTACCCTCCCATTCAAGCAGCCAGACCTGTGCGCCCAGGGTGGAATTGGCGGGATGGATTTTTGCCTGGTGCTGAGAGGAGATAGGTGTACACACAGCCAGGGCCCTGGGCGGCTGGGGCCACACCAGCTACAGAGCAGTAGGGCTGGGGTGCCAAGCCCACCCAGCACTCCTGTCCTCCCCACACCCCAGGACAGTGACCAGCAAACCCCAGGAAGCAGCAGGCTCCAGCTGACCCCTGTCCTCAAAGCCCCGCCCAGGCCCAGTGGAGCAGGAACCAGAGGAGGACGGCACAAAACGCTGGATGTGGCACCTGCCGGCCCCCTGGGGTGCACCCTGGGAGTTCTCCTTTCTCTCCCATCCTGTGCACACCCACCTCTGGCAGGAAGAGGACTGAGGGAGAGGGTGGCTGCAAACAGGTCCTGCTCCTACCAAGTGGGCTTCCCATGGGACCAGCCCAGCTGACCCACCTTCCTGCGCTGCCGACTGGGAGCAGGCCAGGGTGAGCCTGAGGCAGACGCATGGCAACAGGTGGCCTCTGGCCCTGCAGCGCTTGGACTAGGAAGGATCTCGATGGTCATCGGGACCCAGAGGAGCTCACAGAGGCCGTGGGTGGAGCGGGCCCTGCATCGCTTACCCTGCCAAGTTACAGAAAAGAATAAGGACGCAGGGCCCCGGGGAGGAAGTGGGGGCTGCCCTAGTCCCCAGCAAAGAAGCAGCCAGACTCAGACTCAGACTCAGCCCGTCTGATGACTACGACTCTTGTGCATTTTCAGCTCTTCACAAACAATGACTAATTCTAAAAGACAGCATCAGTGCTCCCTTTTGTAGGTGTGTTGGCTTACCGAGTTCCTTCAACAGCTCTGTGCACGAACAACTGTTGCATCATTTTATAGATGAGGACACTGAGGCTCGGCTGGGGGGGGGGGGGGGCCTTGTTCAAAGCACAGGTCCAAAGTGGAGAGTGAACTCAAAACCCACACCTCAGATTCCACGTCTGCACCCCAAGCACTGTGCACCCCAGCTCCTGCTCTGCAGGAGCCCAAAGTAAAAATCAGCTTCTGCAGCCCGGTTGCTAGGGACTAAGGACTTGGGGGAGTAAGTGTAAGTGAACAGTTTCAGCTTCGCAAGAGGAATGCGTTCTGGAGACTGGTTGCAAGGCAAGCTGATGACACCTGCAGAGCTGAGTGTGCTCCTAGGGGTTCCCATGGTGAAGCGTACATGTTGGCCCACAGTGTGCGGACACCTGGGTGATGGGGAGCCTGCAACTGGGTGGGTGGGGGTGGAGGGATGGAGCAGCTTCTGCCCTGCTGCTGAAGTGCAGGTGCTCGGCAGGTGCAGGGCGGCTGCAGAGGGTCAAGGGCAGGGGCAGCTCCGTGGCAGGACCCAGTGGGCTGCAGGAGGCTCACCTGCTTCTTCAGCTCAGGCCCTCCCACCCCCACTGTGCTTCCAGGGGGCCCAGGTCAGGCCCGCCCACTTGGTCCAGGTCCCGGCCATGTCACCCTGCCTGTATACCTCTCTGCTCGTCCTTGTTAGGGAAAACCCCTGTGCTCATCTCACGGGGCCCCGAGACACCTCCAATTGTGCAGATCCTTTTCATTTGTAGGGCTGGGTCTTACCCGGGAGCTTCAGGCCAGGATCTGAGCAGGAAATGCTGCTTCCACCACCCAGCCTTGGGCAGGTCACCTCGTTGGAGCTGGAGGCTCGGGCGGAGGCTCGGGCTTCCCAGGCAGAGGCCGCCTGGCGGGGAGGCAGCAGTGGCAGCCCCGCGGGGCCGAGCCGAGCTCCAGGAGGCTGGGTCCTCCGGGCCCTGGGGCCAGGCTGAGAGCCAGGACGGGCTTCGACATCCTGCGTGTTGCTGGGCAGGCCTTCCTCTGGGGCACTCAGCCGGCTTCCATTTACGAAGTGCCAGTGCAAAGCCAGGTGGCCGGCCCGGCGCGGGAGGCCACAGGGACGCCTGTGCTCTTGGCTCTAAAATAACCGCCCCTGGGTCAGGAAAGCTCTCCCTGAAGTCCTGGCAGGAAACGTGGGCTCAGCTGCACAGAGGCTGGGAAGATGGAGGCCTGGGAGGAGTAACCGCTCTCAGTCGTCTTTCCAGACCTGTCTTCCTCGCTGGAAGTTCTGCGTGAGCGACACAGAAAACAACCTGGGCTTCGCCTTGGGCCCCATGTTTGTCAAAGCGACCTTCGCCGAGGACAGCAAGAACATCGTAAGTGCGTCCTGCTTGGACACAGACTTACCGCCGACTGCCGGCCGGGGCTCAGCTTCCCCCCAGGCCCCGGGATACTGACAGTTACCTGCAATAGCTGCCATTGTCAGGAGCTGGGCCTTGTGTCTGCACTCTCTCATCAGGCCTCACCTCTGCGCTGCAGGGGTACCCCGCTGTTTGCGCCTCCTAGGGGTGCAGAGCACACAGCAGGGTAAGGTTGGGGGTGACTTTGCTTACCCTACAGGTCACAGTCTGTCCAGGACAGGTAGAGGAACAGCCAGGCCCCACCTCCGCCCAGGATTCACCACCTCCTGGTTGGGTGACCGGCACAGTAGTCTCACCTCACCTGTAACTTGGGGACCATGGGGAAGGTTAAGGGAGATGCTCTGCATGTGAGGCACCAGGCTACCAGGCTGAATACATGGTAGCTGTTCTGTTACTGTTAGGTTTTATCACTATTAATAATTTCATGCATATTATTCACAGCCAAAGACTAGCAAACTGAGACTCAAATCTCTTCTGTGACTAACCCATGAGCGGCCTGCACGGGGTCTGCTGGGGCCTGTCACCATCAGCTCTCTGCATTTTATGCTCCGGGAGCTCCCACCTCCAGCACTGACCGTGACCGTGTCGCCCTGGAGGGTAGCCCAAGCACAGCATCTCTGATGCTGTTCCTCGCTTGAGCGCTCCAAGCTTCAGCATTCAGGTCACCAAAAAGAAATTCTGTGGCCCAATTAGCCTGAAAAAAACAAAACAAAACAAAACATGTGTTCTAGCACTCTCGGGGAAGAACCACAACACATGTTCTCATCAAAGGCTGTGGAAAGGCCCCCTGAGAAAAAACTCACCCTGCATTTCCTAAGCATAAATGACCAGGGAGCCCCATTTATGAAGCCCAACCCTGGCTTGTGGGTGCTGGTGCTCAGAGGAGCTGGGGATGGGGACCACAGCTCTGACTCCCCAAGCCCTGCAGCTGGAAGCTGAGGCTTGGAAGCGAAGCTGAGTTTACTCTCCAGCCCAGCAGCCTCCCGCGTGGGGCCGAGGCGTGTGGGCGACCCCAGTGCCCAGGCCTCACTGTCTCTGCATCTGCTTCCTCAGGCCAGCGAGATAATCCTGGAGATCAAGAAGGCGTTCGAGGAGAGCCTGAGCACCCTAAAGTGGATGGATGAAGACACTCGGAAATCAGCCAAGGAAAAGGTCAGCCTGGCCAGGGACCTGGGGGTGGCAGCAGCCACAGGCACAGGAGGGTGGACAGAGCCAGGCTGCTCCACCCCAAGCTCGGCACAGTGCTGGCGGCCCTCAGTCTGCCCTGTGGGTGCAGTGGCAGGACAGCCATGTGCACGTGGCTGCATCAGTGGCCCCGTGGAACCAAGCTGGTGAATGGGGGGAGGGGCGCGGTGTCCACTGGGGGGCAGAGGAGCTGCTGTGCCAGTGGGCGGTAGCCAGAGCAGGCAACACCCTTGGGGACATTTAGGGCAGACCTAAAGTATCAGGCAAAGTTAGACTGGGAGGAATCTTTCCAGAAAGGTGTGAAGGCCCTGAGGCAGGAGGACCCACGCTCTGAGCGGTCTCCACGTTCACTGTCCTCTGTCTCTCCTGTGCAGGCGGATGCAATCTACAACATGATCGGCTACCCCAACTTTATCATGGACCCCAAGGAACTCGACAAAGTGTTCAATGACGTAAGTGACTCCTAGCCTGCCCTTTGCATCCCCAGGTGGGGTCTGGATGCAGGCACCACGTGGCTGTCAAGACTGTCAGGATGCTGTGCTAGGGTTTGGGGATGGAGCGGGTCGGGTTCGGGTGGGCGGGGTGGGGGGTCAGGGCCAGGGTCCTCTCCTGGGCCAGCGGAAGGCTCTGCCTCCCTGAGCTACCACCAGTGGCCAGAAGTGGGTGCCAGAGCTGTGCCCCACTAGAAATGGTCGGCTCCATTTAACGAGTGGGAAATAGTGGGGTGTAACGGGTCCTGGAAGACACAAAGAGAATGGGCACCCCTAAACATCAGGGCAGAGTACAGAGTGGGGCCCCTCACATCCCCTCCTCCTTTCCAGTTCCCAGAGTTGTTGCCTCTCCCTGGAACCCCCTGCTCCCCCATTTCCAAAGAAATCCAGACTTGTCATTTGGACCTTAATATGCTACTGGGCAAGAGGAAGCCTAAGTCCCACATGCACTTTTGAGCTTAATTTGGGCAATAAAAGTTGTTCTGGGCCTAGGGGGAAGCTTTTGGCAACTCCTTACTTTAAGTGGATTGTCTCTCTGCCCTTAAAGATAGAAGTTTTAGATCGTCTTGTGATTGCAATTTGTGAATTCAGGCATTTTTGCAATTATAATAACCCCTCATCATGGGTTATATTTAAAACCTAAGAATGTCAGAATTACTTCTGAGGATATGGGATTCACTCTGCAGCCGTTTTTCTTGAGGATAATTTAAGATGCCCCAGAGCGTTGTGCCATAAGATCCAGGGGCTCCCAGAGACAGGCAGAGCCCACAGCCCGGGGTGCTGGTCCCTGGGCCCATTAGCCTAAAAGCTCTGAGGAGATCTGAGGTGCCCCCCAACAAGAGCAGGGAGGCTAGCTGAGGGGTGGGAAGGTGTGTTAGATGCCAGTTTCAAAGATAGATCCCAGCTTGACTGAGGAGAACGCGACTCCTTCGTTCATGAAGTTCTAAGTCAAATTAGGTAAAAGTCACACTAGCGGGCTGGACGCTCGGCCACCGTGTGGCAGGTGTCTGACGTGCACTTGTAGGCCTGGAACCCACCGCCATTTCAGAGTCCCGCTGGCAGTGCCAGAAGCTTTTCCTGCCCGGGGCCTGGCACTGCAGAAGGGGTGTCCCACAGCCCAAGACACCATGGGGTGTTGCGTGGCCCCGGTGAGGCTCTTAATGGCTCCTAAAGTAGGCTTTGGGGTCCTTTCCATAAAGGGGTGCATGCCAGGCCCTAGAGGGAGAGGGCCAGCCTGCAGCCCTGAGCCCTCCATTTTAGCCTCTGTCCCTTAAACTGACCCCTTGTCTCGCGGGGTCTCAGTTGTGAAAGGGTCCCGTGACCACGCGTGAGGTGCCCCAGGCAGGGCTCTGATGCTGGCACTCTGCTCTGGTCCAGTACACCGCAGTTCCAGACCTCTACTTTGAGAACGCCATGCGCTTTTTCAACTTCTCCTGGAGGGTCACCGCGGACCAGCTCCGGAAGGCTCCCAACAGAGACCAGTGAGTTCCAGGCTGCCTGGGGGCTGGGCTGGGCTCGCTTTCTGGGTGCACTTAACCCTGTGTCAGAGGGAACAGTCAGCAGGGCCCTCAGGAGTGGGTGCCGCTGTCCCACTTTGCAGGTGAAGAAACGGGCACCCAGGAAGTGTCCAGCCAGGAGCCAGGACCGACTCAGAAGTGACTCCTGCCTCCTGCCTGTTGGCAGAGTTGAGGGACCTGGGATCACATCCCAGCTCTGAACCTCCAGACTCGAAGCCTTGGCTTCCTTATCTCAGAGGGGCCAGTTCTCGGGTGGTTGTGGCAGTCATGTGAGGGCTTTCCGGAGCGTCCAGCCCGGGCAGGCCCTCAGCCAGGCCTGGCGTCCTCCAGTTCCTCACACAGGCTGGTTTGTGGGGAGGCCTTGGATGGGCCCTCAGGCCTCACTGTGTATCAAAACCCTCAGGAGTTTTTTTTTTAATATAATATCCTAGCCTTGTAACCCAGATATTCTTACTAAGAATAATCTGGATTGAGACCTGGTATCAGTTGCTTAACTCTCCTCAGAAAACCCAGATACTCTCAGACCAGAACTATCCGCAGTCTGAATTCTTCTCCTAAAACATTTTTCAGGAGAAATTTTGCCAAGAGGTTAAGAACTTCTCTTTGCCTCTGGCACCCCCTCATGGACAACGTTGTTTGAACATTTCTGTTTTCTCTCTACATCTGTCTTTTTCCACATTACCCCTAAATGCATAAAAAGTGTCTTCAATCTCTAAAATATGGTATAGGCCCTGCCTCAGTGTTTCAGGCTTATCTGAAGTCTTTTAATTTAGCGTAAAATTTCCTACTTAAATTTTGCTTTCTGCCCTATAATGTATCTTGATTATTATTTGGTGATTTGAATATATAGAAGTTATTCGACTACAAATATGAAGATTTCATTGTCTATCTTTTCAAGGCTTTAGGCAACCCTAATGCTTCTCTGTTGACTCATCAGGCGGAGACACAGTGGCTGCTCTGTGCTCTTGGTAAAAATATCCTTCCGCCTAACCAGCCTTGTCCCTTCACACCACGTAAACCCTGGAGAGGCCAAACGCCTTCCTGCCTCATACCATCAGTTTCAGACTCTGCTCTCGGTACTCAAAAAATGACTGGGCTCCAAGACCTTCCTTGCTTGCATGGGTTCTATCAACTTTTTATGAAAAATAACTTTTCAAGTTTAGCGAGCAGAGGCTGGTTGACTTTTGCAAATGTCTTTAATGTCTGGCTTAACAGAGGACAGCTGGTTCCCACATCTGCTTCTGCAAGCTGTCGCAAGCTGTTGTTTTGAAATATGACAGTGACACAGTAAGCAGTTGCAAAGGCGGAGCTGTTTGAATTGTCTTCTCTGGTGCCTGTGTACACTCTTTGTTGATATTATACCCAAACTCAGCAGGTGCGGTCTCCTAAAGGTTCACCGCGACGTGGAAACAGAACATGTCCCCATGAACTTGTCACAGTCTGCCCCACTGAAAATCCAGGGCTCTGCCTTGGACTGGGAGTCTCCTCCCAGTCATGGTTTTGTAGCTCATACACTGCTCCTTTGAGATAGTGGCTTCCTGAGTTTAACAGATCTCCTAGATAGTGGTGTTTTCATTATACTATATATATATATATTTTTTTTTTTAAGATTTATTTATTTGTTCATGCAGAACTGGGGTACAGGTCAGAGGTTCAGGGGCGGTGAGAGGCTTCACCAGAGACAGAGTGGGGAGCAGAACAGGCAGATCTACGAAGTATACTGCTGAAGGGAGCAGCGGGCGGGCCAGGAGAGGTCTGCCGTGCCATGTGGATCTCCTCCGGGACAGGCGGGAATCGAACCCATGCGGAAGTGGCTTTAGTTTCTCAGTGTTGTGCTTTAACCCGCTGCGCCACCAGGGAGGGCCTACAATATATATTTTTTTAAAGATTATTTACTTATGCATGCAGAACTGGCGTACAGGCCAGAGGTGCAGAGGCCGTGAGAGGATTCATCAGAGACAGAGTGGGGAGCAGAACAGGCAGACTGATGAGTACACTGCTGAGGGGAGCAGCGGGCGGGTCAGAAGAGGTCTGCCGTGCCATGTGGTCACCTCCGGGGCAGGCGGGGATCGAACTCATGCGGTAGTGGCTTTAGCTTCTTAGTACTGCTCTTTAATCCGCTGCACCACCAGGGAGGGCCCTCTACAATATATTTTTAATTTTATTTATTTTTATGTAGAAGAACTGGGGTAAGGCCAGGGGGTGGGAGAGGGTGAGAGGGTTCACCAGAGGCAGAGGGCAGAGTGGGGAGCAGAACAGACGGATCCACTGCTGAGGGGAGCATTGGTCAAGACAGGAGAGGTCTGCTGCGCCCTGTGCGTCAGCTCCCTGGCCAGGAGTCAAACTCGCTGCACAGTGGCCCTGGACAGTCTCACAGTGCTGCACTTTAACCTGTTGCACCATCAGAGAGGGCCCAAGGGGAGTGTACTTTTTAAGTACACTGGGTGCCCTCTGCTGGGCTGCCTGCCCACCTCCCCTCTGCTGGGCCTGGGTCTTGACTGCCTGCTCTTTGCAGGTGGAGCATGACCCCACCCATGGTGAATGCCTACTACTCGCCCACCAAGAACGAGATCGTGTTTCCAGCCGGGATCCTGCAGGCACCGTTCTACACCCGCTCCTCACCCAAGTAGGATGCCCCCAGGACACCCGCCCCTTCTTCTCCCCACACCCCACGGCCCAGGGCTGATACCACCATTGAGTCTGTCTTTGCGCTGCTCTCTGCCCCACTGACCCACTGCCCCACTGGCTCACTTGCAGAGAAGCTGCAGGGGGCAAAGCCCTGTGCTTCCTGCAGGGTCTCCTGGGCCTGGTAGTCCCTGTGTGGAGGCATCAGGCACCGCGATGGGTGGCTGCTTCTGTAACTGTAGAGCAGCCACAGCTGGGGAGTTGGGGAGGGGGAGGGCACCGGCTCAGAAAGGAAACCACCGTCTTGGGTTCGAACCCCAGGCCCACCAGTGGCTGTAGGCCTGGCCCGAGACTGAACCCCACTTTGTTCCTCTGGGAGTCAGTTACTGACGCCTGGTTGTGAAAGTTGCTGAGAGGACCGCGCAGCTGTGTGGAGCACCCTGCATGGCACAGGCATCTAGTGGGCACAGGTGGGCACAGCCAGCTCATGGCCTCCTCGGGGGCTGCATCCCCCAGGGCCCTCAGGCTGTGCTGCGTCTCCTGCCCGCCCCAGGATGCAGGGATCTGCAGCATCATTCTCAGCCCTCCCCCATGTTCCTCCCCTCCAGGGCCTTAAACTTCGGTGGCATCGGTGTTGTCGTGGGCCACGAGCTGACTCATGCTTTTGATGATCAAGGTGCGTTTCCGGGCCTGGCAGGTCCTGCGTCTGGTGCTTCGGCTTGGCTCCCTTGGCTTCCAAGAGTCTTGGCCTTGGAGACAGATGGATCTGGGGTCTGACCCAGCGCTTCCCCCAGCCTCCTCTTCCTGGCTGTGTAACAGGCAGGATGAGCACAGCCCACGGGTGCCTCTGAGGCCTGTGTCACACAGAGCCAATCCTATGCCTCAAAGGAGCCTCCTCACCAACCAACGTCCAGAAGCATCCTCTTGGCTCGTGCCGGAAGGAGGAGGTGGGGCCTCGGGGGCTGGGGCCTGTGACCCGAACGCTCCCCGCGCAGTTAGCCCTCCGGACCAGCCCTGACAGCGAATCCGCTCCGCCCAAACCCGAGCACGCTGCCCGTTTGCTGCGTCACGGGCCCCGGCCGCCCCCTCCGCAGCTCCACCGGCCAGCTGCCCCAGCTCCTTCACGGAGGCCAGCAGCGCACCCCCACCTGTGCTGGCTGGCAGATGGCTGGCCGGACAGGGGGCCCCAGGCCCTGCTGCCTCTTCCCCCTTGACCTTCCGCTGCCCTGTGACCCGCAGGCCGGGAGTACGACAAGGACGGGAACCTTCGGCCCTGGTGGAAGAACTCGTCCGTGGAGGCGTTCAAGCAGCAGACGGAGTGCATGGTGGAGCAGTACGGCAACTACAGCGTCAACGGGGAGCCGGTGAACGGCCGGCACACGCTCGGGGAGAACATCGCTGACAACGGGGGCCTCAAGGCCGCCTACCGGGTGAGTGGCGCCTTGCGTGTCCCCTCTGGGTGCCGAGTGAAGAGCAGTGGGCACAGCAGAGCTCGTAAATGGAAGAAGGACCTGTCAGCTCACCCTTTCAAACTGGGACCAGCTAACCTGCCTCCTGAGGACCAGCCAGCCCTGGGCTGTTTCTGTCAGTGCAGACCTGGCTGGGGTGGGCCAGGCCCGTTCTGTGCCTGCTTCCCCGTGACAGGCAGCACCGAGTACTTGCCACAGACCTTTGGCCTCCAAAGCTGAGGCTCTCAGGCCTTTTATAGGAAAGTGTGCCAACCTGCTTTGGAAGGATGAGTTGGGGTGCTCGGTCATGAGGGAATTAGAGCTGGACTCATTTGAACGAACAAAACTAGCTAGAAGGTGGCAGTGAGGTCATCCAAGGCAACAGATGGAAGTGAGACCTGGGCTGATGCGGGCGGCGGAGAGTGGGGCGGGGATGGCTTGGTTGAGAGGGAAAAGTCAAAGGGGATTTTGGGTGTGATCTATAGCCCTGCTCGTGCCCTGTTGAATCTGAGATGTGTCTTGAATGTCCAGCTGGGACAGCCGAGTGGGGCAGAGGCTGGAACTGAGACCGGCACGGGGGCCCGTGGTGTGTAGATGGTACCCAGAGCCACAGGCTTGCACGCTCCCCTCTTTGGGAGGACTTCAGAGAGTGGGGACAAGCTGAGGCCCCGGAGCGCCCCCAGGCCTCCCATCCCAGACGCTGTGTCCCCACTGTGCGCTCCTGCTTCGAGGGTGCCTGAGCCTCCTTGCTCTCCCCCAGGCCTACCAGAACTGGGTGAAGAAGAACGGGGCTGAGCAGACCCTGCCCACCCTGGGCCTCACCAACAACCAGCTCTTCTTCCTGGGGTTTGCGCAGGTGAGTTCACTAGGAGCAATGCCAGGCTCCGACACCTCCTGCCCTCTTGGGGTTCCAGGAGGGCTCAGGGCCAGGGGCACGTTCCCTGGAGTGGGGAGCTCCTCGCTGGTAGGCCACAAGGCCTCTGCCTGCCTGCGAGGGGGCAAGCTCCTGTCATTGCAGAGGGTCGGGGGGCAGGAATGTTGTTACACGGATCCCTCTTCAGGTGGCTGAGGACAAGGTGATCCTAAGGGTGTTCCAGAAAGTTCTTGACCTCAAGATGCTCCCGGTTGTCTGTCGGGTGGGCATTCAGCTTCTAACCTTCACTTGGCCCCAGAGCCTCTGGCCATTGGCAGTCTGTTCTGCCCAGGAATCAAGTGCTCTGAGCTTAGTCTGAGCTTTTGAACTGGCTCGGGGGCAGAAGCCCCTGCTCAGGTGAAATTCCCACAAATGCCGGGACACAGCGATGCTTCTCTGGCAGAAGGGGCCAGTGGGAGAGGGGCCTGCGTCAGCCTGCCGTCTTCCTTACACACGGCAGACCCCAGGGCCCCAGAACTGGGTGGGGGGCTCGGATGAGACCGGCCTGGTGGCCTCGGGGCCCGCAGTGACACCAGCCTCTCCTTGTCGCCCTCACCAAGGTCTGGTGCTCTGTCCGCACGCCCGAGAGCTCCCACGAAGGCCTTATCACCGACCCCCACAGCCCTTCCCGCTTCCGCGTCATCGGCTCCATCTCCAACTCCAGGGAGTTCTCGGAGCATTTCCACTGCCCGCCCGGCTCCCCCATGAACCCCCAACACAAGTGTGAAGTCTGGTGAGGGGCAAAGCACCAAGAGCCAAGACGGAGTGGGGAGGGACGCGGAGGCGCCCCAGGGTGGGCCCGCGGCCTCCCCCCATGCGGCCCCAGGGCCGTCCCCTCGGCCCGCGCACTGGAGGCCGCTCAGCCGAGCCTGCGGTGTGGTTCTAGCACAGCCCAGAGCGGCTCCCGCGAGCACCCTGCCACCCCAGGCGCGCATGCGCGGCGCGGCGGGCATGTGGGGGTCAGGCCGCTTGTCAGAGCCCTGGGCCCCTCGCCGCCAGGGGCAGTGGACGCAGCCTCCCAGCTCACACTCAGCGCCAGGTACACCGCAAACACCACTGTGTCAAATGCTTTAAAGATATATTTTTGGGGAAACTATTTTTTAAACATTGTGGAATACACTGGAAGCCTTCAGGGAAATAATGCATTTAAAACACTTTTTTTTTTAAAGAGAGGATTGGTATATTTATTATGTTGTTTTTCTAAATAACCTGTGGACAAGAGAAGCCCCGGACTCACTCCTCTCTCTCCCTTACTGCAAGCGACCCCCCAGCTCCTGAGCAGGGCCCCAAAAACAGAAAACGCCATTTCAGCACCAGCACTCTGGCATGTGGTGCGGAGGAGAGTCTCCCCTGCACCTCGCCCGCAGTTGCTTGCCTGTCTCCAGCCCAGCGGGGGGCCGCAGCAAGGAAGTTGTGGTCTCTGGAGTCACAGCAACAGAGACCGGTGGCTGTGGCAAGTCGGCCCTCAAACCTAGCTTGGGTGCCTGGGTACCCTGGATTTGGACCCTCCTGCCAGGCTGAGCCTGGTCCCCATCAGATGCACCCTCTGTGCTGTAGGTACCCAGACTTCATCCCTCTCTTGGCCACCCCATGTCTGTCCTGGGGGCTGTTCCCTCACTGCAGGAGTCCCCCCATCCTAGCCCTGGGGTCCATCTAGCCAACTGTCTCCTATGGGGAAGGAGAAAAGAGAAAACCCCTCACGTCACAGAGTCCAGGCTCTCCCACTGAGCTCCATCCCACTAGGCCCACCGCTGTGGGCCGGCTCCCAGGACCACAGCCAGCCCGCCCTCCATCTCTAGTGCCTTACCTGAGGCTTGGCCCTGGGCTCACCCCAAGGAGACAGCCCCATTGCCAGGGCCCCTGTGGCTTCCTCATGCACCCACCAAGTGACCTGACTGGAACTCAAGGCCATACCCCTGCTCCCAGCGCCTGCTTGGAGCCACGCTCCCCTCCCAGCAGCTCAGAAGCACCATCCTGCAGGTTAGTTGCACAGAGGTCAGGAGTCTGCAGAGCCCTTGAACTTGCCCTCAGCCCCTTGAGTTGAATCAAGACATTCCCCTTGGTGGGAGATGCTTCCAGGCATGGAAGGCTATGAGGGGTAGCACCCCCAATCTTAGCAGTGAGACCTGTGGAGTCCAGACAGCAGCCTGCCCCCTCCCTCATGCCACAGGCTCTCCCCACAGCAGGTTCAGGAGTGGCCCCAGGTGGAGCTAATCATAGCCCCTCCACTCCCAGTCCTCTGGGGGAGCAGCACCTGTGACAGATGCCACCAGTTCCCACCAGGCTCCCACGGGGCAATCACCTTGCCCAGGAAGCCAGGGCCCTCCGTGCCCAAGAGGAGCAGGCAGCTCCGGAGTAGCCTTGGCATACTGCCCCGAGCTGGGGAGAGGCGGGCAGTGGGTTCCAGGTGAGGCCCAGTTCACACAGGCCTTCAGAGGAAAGGAGAGACAGGAGCTGGAGAAGGAGTAGGTCACATCACCTGCCTCTCACAGGAAGGCTTCCCTGGTACCCTCCTGCCCGCCTCCCACCCGTCTCCCTCACCCTCCGGCTGCACCATGGAGAGACTCGGTCCTGAAGGGCACTCATCTGAGGGCATGTGCACTGAGGCTTCCTGGTGTCCTGGGAAGGCAGGGGCGGGAGGCGAGGAGGGCCCAGCAGAGACAGAAGACAGGAAGCAGCCCCTCTCCCACCGCCCCAAGATTCCAGAAAAGGCTAGGGTGGAGGGGCAGTCACCCTCAGAAAGACCCTGCCCCTGGGCCCTGGAGACCCGCAGGCCATCTTCTCTGCTGGCACAGGGACTTGCAGTTTGGAGCTAGGGAGCTGTTTTTTTGTATGACCGTGTCTCGTGCTACTGTAGTCTGGTGTGGCACTATTGTAACTGAAATAAAGTACTTGTACGGGAGCTGTGTGACTAAGCTGTCCTGTGTGACTAAGGGCCTTTTCTGAGCAAACGTAACACTTTACGTGCGTAACAGAGGCTTGAATCAATGCAGATAAATACCCTGCTCTGAGATGGAAGGGTCTCACATGTCAAATCTCCCAAAGCTAGCATTACAGTATACTCACCAAAATTCCCAGGTAATTCTTCATCAACCTTGATAAGCTGATTCACACGAAGAGAAGATCCAAGGCCATTTTGAAGAAGAGCAGTGGGCACTGGCGCCTTGAAGCAGGTATGAAGCTGTCTCGTTAGTAGAGGTGTGGGGTTGGAAATTGAACAGGTAGAATAGCTGAAAGAACAGAGGAACATGGAATAAGAACCCCTCCACCAGCTGAGAAAAGATGAGCCCCTCAGTAAGACATGAGCACACCCTTAGGGAAGAAATGATCTAGATCCCGGTCCTCCCTGGTGGCGTAAGCATGGGCTTACGTCAGCACTAAGAAGCTAGTGTAGCTTCAGTCCCTGGCCAGGGAGTTGGCTCACAGGGCACAGCAGACCTCTCCTCTTCCCTCAGTGTTTTCAGACAATCTGCCTATTCTGCTCCTCACTCTGTCTCTGGGGAATCTTCTCTCCCCCACACCCCACACCTCTGGCCTACACCTAAGCCGTAAGTATACATAAATAAATAAAAAATAAATCTTTTTTTTTTTACATCATCTAGATCCTGCCCAGTGGCACAATTACACACATGTACACAGCAATTTCTTTCTTTTTTTTAAAGATTTATTTATTTATTTATTTATTTATACAGAACTGGATTACAGGCCAGAGATGCAGAAGGTGAGAGGATTCACCAGAGACAGAGCAGGGAGCAGAATAGGCAGATCCACGAAGTACACTGCTGAGGGGAGCAGCGGGCGGGTTAGGAGAGGTCTGCTTTGCCATGTGGATCTCCTCCGGGGCAAGCAGGAATCAAACTCATGCAGAGGTGGCTTAAGCTTCTTAGTGTGCTTTAACCTGCTGCACCACCAGGGAGAGCCCAGCAATTTCTTTTAAGGATTTATTTATTTATTTATTTATTTATTTTTTAAAGATTTATTTATTTATTTGTGCATACAGAACTGGGGTACAGGCCAGAGGCTCAGGGGTGGTGAGAGGCTTCACCAGAGACAAAGTGGGGAGCAGAACAGGCAGATCGACGAAGTACACTGCTGAGGGAAGCAGCGGGCCAGTCAGGAGAGGTCTGGCTCGCCATGTGGTCTCCTCCGGGGCAGGCGGCAGGCGGGAATCGAACTCATGCGGAAGTGGCTTCAGATTCTCAGTGCTGTGCTTTAACCCGCTGCGCCACCAGGGAGGGCCTTAAGGATTTATTTTTATTTATGCATTTAAGAGCTGGAGTGCAGGCCAGAGGTGTGAGAGGATTCACCAGAGACAGTGGGGAGCAGAACAGGCGGATATACTGAAATACCCTGCTGAGGGGAAGCAGTGAATGAGACAGGAGAGGTCTGCTGTGCTCTGTGGGTCAGTTCCCTGTCTGGGGATCAAACTTGTGCTGCAGTGGCTGCAGAGAGCTTCATAGTGCTGAAACTTAAGTCCTTGCACCACTAGGGAGGGCCCACAACAATAATTTCTGGAGATCTAAACATGAAAGTACCATGGAAGTACAAAATAAAATATAATGGAAGGTGTTTATAACTGAACAGGTAAAGCCATCTTAGACAAGTGAAGGGAGGAAAGGAAAGACAAATACATCAGAGAGTATCAATTTTAATTTTTTTTTTAAGATTTATTTATGCTTACAGAATTGGGGTACAGACCAGAGGTGTGGTGGGTGAGAGGATTCACCAGAGACAGTGGGGAGTAGAACAGGCAGATGGACTGAAATGCACTGCTGAGGGGAGCAGCGGGCGGTGGGAGAGGTCTGCGGGAGCAGCCATGTTGGTCCGGCTCCCAGTCAGGGCGGATGCTGCAAACTGGTGCTGCAGTGGCTTTGGAGAGCTTCACAATGCGGTGCTTTAACCCGCTGCACCACCAGGGAGAGCTCGCAATTTTAAATCTTTTATAAATGGTAAATTAAAACACGGGAGACCTATTGGGAGGAAAAGTGCAACATGCATAGTTAACAGTGCAGGATATACAAAAAAAAACTGGTAACTTTAAAAAAATGGGTGAAAAATTTCAACAGAGATTTAAACATTAAGAGGAGAAAAAATATAAAAGCAAAACAATTTTTGTGAAAGATAATATCACTGTGAGAAACGATTTGCAGCCACAAGGACCTTTCTCACCTGTGGGACTGGCAGAAACCAGGGTGGGACCTGGGCCGTCACCCCTGCCAGGCCCACTTACCATGTGTGCTGAATTCAAAATGGGACACTAAGACTTCCAGGCCTGGAGGACAATATGACTCCCTAGTTTCAAATCACTCCACTCATCCTTCCCCCCCCAAAAAAAAATGTCGATCAGCAAAAAAAGTAAAACCACACCTAAGTAGAAGTAGAAGAATCCCAATTCCAGCAGAATCCCCACCGCTCGCCCTGCAGGTGGCGCTGCAGTGATGGAGGTGACGAAGTGGGTGCCCGGTGCTCCTAGGGCAGCAGACAGATTGGGGAGCTGTGACGCCAAAGCCCAGGCAGGGGGGGTGGCGGTGGAAGGGCCGGGGGGGCCCCTGGCGGAGAGAAGAGACTCAGCAGAGACGCTGTGCCTGGCCTCGCAGGTGGGTTTTGCTCTCCTCTGCACACACAGCCTCTCAGGCATCACGTCCACCCGCCCCTTCGTGGGCGACAAGCCCCCGGCGCGACCCCCCCTCCGCATTTTGGAGCCCGGGACACCAGGCACCGGAGTGCAGCTGCAAGGCTGCCTGAGTCGGCCTGGCTTTGTTCCCAGATGTCAGTCGGGACAGGAAGATTCACCCAGAACCCTGGAACAAATGGGTCCACATGGCCTAGACAAGTTCCGCAGTGAATGGAGATCACAGCAAACTGAAAAAAGGTGCCGACTTAGGAGCCTCCTGGTGGCCTAGCGGGTTAGGACGCAGCACTGCAGGCGAGCCGCCCGCTCAGACCAGGTGGGGCTACCGCCCCGGAGTGACCCACATGGCGCTGCAGACCTCTCCGGTCTCCCCGCTGCGCCCCCCTTTGTCGACCTGCCTGTTCTGCTCCCCACTCTGTCTCTGGTGAATCCTCTCACTCCCTGCACCTCTGGCCTGTACCCCACTTATGTATGCATAAATAAAAATAAGAGAGAGAGATCCGAACTTCTAAGTGAAATACTTCACTCTATAGCTGCTTAAAATGAAGGTCTTCGAGGCCATCTGCACCATCTTCCACTTAACCAGGAAATATCCCCCTCTAAGCACACGAAATCGTGATATTTGTATTGTGTTGGGGTTTTCACTGATTAATAAATATCTGGAGCTGGGAAAAAAGGGGGGGATGAAAAATGAGAAACAAACGAGAAATAAGAAATCTGGTCTCTGTCACGCCTCCACGGATGGAGGCTGAATAGGGACCGACAGCAGAGGGCGCTCGAGAGTGGAGTCCTGTCGTGCGCGTATCAAGCCCTAGAAAAAGGCAGCATTTACCTTGATAATTCTCTTCCTCAAATCAAGTGGCAAGCTGAAGAAAGCTAACACCGTACTCCAAACTGAGTGAGACATCCTGAAATAAGCACTTGGGGCATTGGGAAAAAACTCAAATCAGAAATAAAAGACCAATAACAGAAAAAGAGGCTCCCCAAAAGGAAGAAATGAAATGAGACTTCATCTCAGAGAAGAAAATAAAATCAGATCATACATGAAAATTAAGCTAAGAGGTGCCCGACAGGGATATGATTCAAATGAAAACTTAATACCAAGCTGGGAGGAAAGGAAGAAAGAAGAAAAGAACCAGCCCAAGGATACTTTTGGTATCTTCGGATATCAAAACACAGAAAAACAGAGCTGAATGTGCCAGAGCGCAGGGACAACACTGGCGCCTGCCCGTCCTGAGGAGGGCAGCGGGCGCCAGTGAGGGGAGCCCTCTCCGCGTGTGAATCCAGCGCGAGAAAAAGGCAACCTTCCCGTTGATAATTCTCTTCCCAAATCCCCGCACCTGGGGAGCTTCATGTCGCCAAGAGACCCACAGTTGTAAAGGGCTGTTAGGGCCCCCAGTGGCACAGGGGTTAGGCACAGCAGTGTGGAGCTGTCCCTGGCCAAGTTCAGCCAGGGAGCTGAACCACAGGGCGCAGCGGCCCTCTCCTGTCTCCCGGGTGCTCCCCTCAACAGTGTACTTTGGCAGTTGGCCTGTTCTGCTCCCCACTCCGTCTCTGGTGACTTCTCTCACTCCTTGCACTTCTCTCTGCACCCCAGATAATGAATAAATACAGGCTTTTAAAAAACAGCTTGCCAGGGCCCTCCCTGGTGGCGCAGCGGGTTAAAGCACAGCACTGAGAAGCTAAAGCCACTTCCGCATGAGTTCGATTCCCGCCTGCCCCGGAGGAGACCACATGGCGCGGCAGACCTCTCCTGACCCGCCCGCTGCTCCCCTCAGCAGTGTACTTCATCGATCTACCTGTTCTGCTCCCCACTCTGTCTCTGGTGAAGCCTCTCACTGCCCCTGAGCCTCTGGCCTGTACCCCAGTTCTGTATGCAGAAATAAATAAATCTTTAAAAAAAAAAAAAAACAGCTTGCCAGCACATCAAGCACACCCCGTGTATTTAGGGATCTCAGCTCAATGGAGCAACTGCCACTGTCACCTCTGAGCTGAAGAGAATGGTCCAAGCTGCCAGAGCACCTTCCCCAAGTTTATCCTCCAAGGTGGTGAAAGGGGTGCCTTCAGGGGCCTCCCAGAGGGTAAGCAGGTCCTCCGTGACCACGGAGAGCCCTGGATCCTTCCTCTGCAGTGGGGCAGGCAGTTCTGACTTCTCAGTTTATTTCCTGGGGGCCACCATGGGGGTACATGTTTCCCTCTGCAGGCTATTAGAGACCCTCTCTGCTCACTGAGTTTTGGTTCTGGGTCCAGAACCGGGCAGAGTGGGCCCA